TATCAATATTCATCAATAGTCAATAATAATGATCGAGATAGCCATGCTAATCAAGTTGGGAAAAGATACCAAGTCGACTTTGGTGCAGCAGCAAAGAAGCAATAGTAAGTGATGGTCGATGGCGAAACTTCCCAATCCACGATGGATATCTCAGGCACCCCATCACCAGGCTAGAAAATTGGGACCAGGTTTTCCAACTGTCTGAGAGCACGATTGTTGTTATTGGATCTGCAAGTGTGTGGATCATATTCCAAGAACCAGAGGTGAAAAGGGTTTGTGAACACCTTTAACTTGCATGAACAGCTCTTTGCCAATTGATTTCCATATGTAATCAAACATGACTCAGCAAGACCCATTCACTATCATAACTCATCAAAGCCAGTTGAGGACATGGGTTTCGTCATCTCTTTAGGGGCATTGTAACGCCATGGTAGACAGTTGGCAAACTGATGCTGTCTGATCACCGGAGTTCATTGGAGACACATGCAATGGCCAGTGTGTGATTCCCTTTAACGCCGGAAGGATTCATTCACTGCATCCACTCCAAGAAGGCAAGACATTAGTGAACAACAAGGTCGTTCTGCTCTACCTGCTGATTCTTGCCAGCACCATCAGCAGCAGATCATTCATCAGAAAAGAAGAAGAAATGGGTTTGATCCAGGAGAGTACATGGCTGTTAGGCAGTACGATGCTGCTGCTTGGGTGGGCTGTTGGCCAGGCATGATTCATGGCACAGTAGATCTCCAACGGACTACACTACCAATGGCTGTATTCTTGCAGTCATGCCGAAAATCAGTTGGTCTTGTAGAACCAAAGTGCAGTTTCCCTGGCAATGGAAAGGATTGCCTCACGCTGCACAATAATAACCCATCCCAGAACTGAGACTGCGCCATAGATGCCATCAGCCACCATGGCCTCAGAGACATTTTCGAACGGCTTGGAATTTCTTCAATGAAGGGTGCCTGACTACAAGCAGCAGCCACGGATTGGCGACAACAAGAGTGATTCTGGATGCAATGGCGATGAAAAAGAGGAACATCCCCTAATTGTGGATCCTCTCCCCGAAAGACAACCCACGTTCCTGGATGACAACCGCAATCCCAGGAGATTGGTCGGCCTCCCTGCCTGGATCTTTCTATCTTCCCATCCTTCATGGACGCCCAGGCAGCCATACCATTCGCCCATTCATACAAGTTCATGGGTTGGTCCACGCCAAAATCAGACCAAAGCAGACTAAAGCACGGGACGATTCCCCGCAAAGCATCTCCAGCATCTCCCCTCCCAGATTAATTGGCAATTTTTAAGGTGTGATCTCGATTCCGGCGAAGGTAATCAGCACGCGTGCCTTTCGCGCGTCAGCTACGGTTCGAGGCAGGCTTTCCGCGACGCAGCGACAGCCGACCTCCGACCAACTCCCACCTCGCGACCTGAGGCAGCCTTCTTGCGAGTGCAGCCCTCCACAGTGGCATGCGGGGCGCGACGCCGGCGCGGGCAAGCCGATGTTGACTTCAACTCCCCGCCAATGGGCAAACCGAACCCTTCCCCACCAAATTCCGGCCAAGCCGGTCCTTGCGGCCCACACGGGCTCCATCACTTCGTATGGCCAGCACCGCCCATGTGGGACTTTCGCCTGGAGGTGTGTCCATCGAGGTGCAGGACCTGGTGGCGACAAGCGCAATGGGCGCCTTCACGGGCGCGTCTCTTGGGCTACCCAGAGGCGCTGGACCCGTTCCAAAGGTGCGCCGCCCACGGGATCGCATACCTGCGCTGCTTTCTTCTCTCCGCTTTTGGCGCGGTTTGGCCGCAGTGGTCCAGCATGATCTGAATCGAACTCGTGATTCTGGACGGGCGACGGAGCGCGGCTCTTTCGCGGTGCCCTGGCCAGCCGACGGGCGAGCGCAGCTGCCGCGTGTCACGCAATCCGCGCACCGACCACCCCCAAACCCCGAAACACTCCTGCCAATCATGTGCGCCCTCTTCCCCTTGATGATCGGCCGGACGGGCCGTCAGGCCGATTCCGCCGTTCCGACGGGGCCCAATTGGCCGTGCAGGGCTCCGACCCGATGGCTGCAACCTCAATGCCGCAAGAGCGGCTCGGGACGGCCCTTCAGCTGCGAGAGCGCGGGATGCGGCCCCTGGCGTCGTCGAGGAGACTGGCGGGACAGGCGCGCCGGCCCACGGCGACGGAAGGCTCCGCGCCGAGCGGCGTTGCCAGATTGGGCTGGGGAACGGATTCGCGACGGCGCGTCGAGGAGGCCATGTTGAATGGCGACGAAGAGGGTGCGGTCATTCGGAGTGCTCGGGGGGGCGCCTCTCCCCCGCGCACAACGGGCGCCAGCGACCATCACGTGCCGTTGTGCATTCCAGCAATCTGTGTGTTGAGCTCTTGGCGTCGCTTTTGGAGGAGTTTGTTCATCAGCGCTTGGCTGATCGATTTGGCGCCATTTGGTTCTTTACTCCTCGTCGCCTCTCATTGGACATAAGCAAGGGAAGAACCTGAACGTCCCTGCGCAGAAGTGTCCCTATCGAATGCAGAGCAATGCCAACGCTGGACAAGGTATCATTATTACCCATTTCACCCCCTCCCCACCTGCAGATGAGTGTTGGACAAGATAGCATGCAGATTTGCACAAACTTTGCCCTTCATCGGCTTGCGGGTGCCTAGGTTTGACTGAAATGATGCTCTTTCCTTCCGCATGGGGCAACAGATTGTCAATGCTACTTCGAATGCATTCCTAATGGATAGAGCCAACCATACAGGAATGCACAATACAGACACTCATCAAGCAGCGTACAGGCCAGCATATGACAGGTGCATTGACATTGAGGGCATTTGCTGGCTCGGAAACGCAAGCCCACAATTTAGGATGCAAATCCGATCCATGAGCAGTAAACCAACCATTTTCAAAACATCAGAGAAGTAACGCACAGCGAAATAACAAGAAGAGAACCTGGCCAAAGAACATTGCAGGGTATCAGCGAAGCAAAAGTGGCCCCAGAGAGTGTCCAAGGAGTAGTTCAAGTCTTGCTCCTTGGCAGCTGGTGTTTCAGCACGAGTCGCTGATGCCTGTGAATAAGACCGACGGTGTTGCACATTTCCCCTCTGGCATTATGGACAGCACTGTTGATGTGTTGGCATGTGCTGTGCTCTACATACATAACCAGCCAAATTTGGAACACGATTTCCACAGAAGGAGATCTCAGTGGCGTGTTGATTGGCACACTTCATGTGTGCCTTGGCAGATGAAAAATCACAGCAAATCGCAATTGTCTGTGTGGTCCAGTGATGCAAAGCAGCTCAGCGTTGTGAAGGCCATTGAAGTGGACTGGAATCAATTGACAACCGAAATTCCAGTCGTCTGTGCTGTAACGTATTGTGGCTTGATTTGTGCAGCGCCCCCTCCATTGAAGCTTGCATTTGGTGGTGGAGGCATTTACTTCTGGTGGGAGCTGGGTGAGTTGCTGCTGCTACTCTCTGCTACCTGTCATTCCAAAAGCAGCCTCATCAATTGTGCACTGTGGCTGCTGCCTCAATCGCATTTGCAACACCACACTTGTGTGTTTAGCTGAGAGTAATGGGTGCATGTGGTCTGGTAATCTTTGTTGCCAGGATTTGCATGAATGGCACGTGTGGCCTGCGCACACTAAGTACTGATGGCAAGCAACAGAGAATCAAGAGGAAATAGGGTTTTAAGCCGTATGTCAGCAAGAGAAATGAAAACCTTCAAGAGTAATGGTCGCATGTGCTTGTAATGTGTGTCCAAACATTCCATTTGTCCTCCATGATACCAGATACAGTTGGCTTGTTCCTGTCAAGTCATCGTTTTGGCAACACAGTCACACATAGGGCTATGCATGTTTCCTTTGTGTGCCAACCATACCTGGCGACCAGGGACACCACATGCAATGGCAAGGCATGTGCTGCTTTCATTAGAGAATGTGAAGTCACTCCTTACCCCAGTTTGATGGGATTGGAAAGAAACTGATAAGCTGTACAGTAAGGATTACACCCCACATCCAACACCTCCCTGCTTTCAACTGCACCTCAGTGTCCTGTCTGCCTGCCCATCCCACTCAAACTAAAATGCTGCCAGAAAGTCCACACAATTCTGGACTGTCAGCCTTGTCTTGCCTTGCAGGAAATGTGGAGGGACATCTTGGGGCTGAGGGCCCAGAACATGGTGACATTGGGGCTTAGATGCATGAAGCAGAGTCATAATGCTTTCCAGTGTGGTGCCTACTTGCAGTCAGGATAGCAATGGCCGTGTGTAGTCAGAATAAGAACAACAGCTACTCGAACATGCGTGGAGTTACCCTATGGTGCCTCAGGAGTGGAGCAGTGTGTTTTTCAAGTGATAGCTTGCCCCTCACATTGGACAATTACACATACATGCGCCTTGCACTTGGGTGCCATGTCTAGCCCACAGGCGGGCTTGGGTTCTTGTTCTGATGAAGACATTGGCCCCACGATGGGCTTTGCAAATAGTTTCCTGGCCACTGTGCACAAGCACTATTGGTTGTGTTTGTGCCAGCCATTGGCATGGCATATATGCCATATGTGCCACCTGCGTATACAGGCGATGATGCACTCGCCGTTTATGACAGTGACAGCAGCACACATGCACATGGTGACCTGCGATTTTTGAATTCAAAGTATTAGAATGGAGAAACGCAACAGGTCAACATGACTGACAACCTGTCACGGTTGCTTCCCAATTGCAGGCTGCATACAGTGGTTGTCTGAGCACTATGACCTCAGAAAGACCCTCATGGTGGGTGCCAGCGGTGGGGCCTTGGCTGCCACCTTGGCTGCCACAGGGGTTGACTCAGAAGCGGCGCTGGAAAGTGCTCATCGGTTAGGCAAACAGTATGGAATATGGGAGCGCCCTCTGGGTGAGTTAGTGGGAAAGTATCTGCTAATTGCAGTGTGCACTAGGCTTGTGTTGTGATTGAGTATGATATGTGTACTGACACCCAGCTCACAATGCCATCACCATCCCCATCAGCAATCCCGCACCTTCCTCAGCACTTGTTAGCTTGAGAGTCCGTTCCGCAGAGGACAGTGCACAGGCCAGCAAGTGACGCAGTGCAAATTATGTAACAGAAGATGGGATGGAGATCAGACTGTACAGCGTAGTTGCGCGTGTGGGGACGTGTCCTTACAAGGATGGATTTCTCAGCTGTCTTATCCATATGGAGAGTGCATGATGTTTTAGTGCAAAAACTTCAATTCTGTGATGCTCATCCCATGGTGAGGAGCTGAGAGCAGCATCGAACTCCCTATTTGCTCAAAGGCAGGCTTGTGGTGAAAATGTAGAGGCAGATTGCAAGATGTTTATGCAATATTGATCTAGAATTGCACAATGGATGCTACTCTCTTGGCAAAGTATCTGGGGACTCTCCTGTGCATGAAAGAGATGAACCAGAGATCTCCGATTGAAAGCCAGGCACCTTACAACAGTGAACTTTTAGTCGGTGAGCAATTTAAGCTGGTTGCAGATGTAAGGTCCACAGTTGCACATTGTTGATTTCATGAAGTTTCCCACTGGGAGTGGTGCGCAAGCTCTGTTCACAGTTTTCACGTGAACCTGCCCGAGCACCAAAGGGCTGCTTGTTAACATGCACCAGGAATTGTGTATGTCTGCTTGTTTTGCAGTTGCAAGAAGGCAAAGACACTGTCCTCAAGCCTCCAAACAACGACCAGCAACAAATGCAAACTCCGAGTTAATCCTTGCTGTCTGTGGATCAGGCTGGTGTGCGCACCTCGGCCTCCATGTGTGCTCACTGCGAATCACAGAGAACTTTTGTACTGCAGTTGTTTGCTGTGTACTACAAAACTTATTCGCAGCATATGTGTGACTGTCGATTGCTGTTTCCTATCAGGCTTGATGGGCGTCTGGGGACAGATCGTTCGGGAGTGGCTGGAAGAGTTGCTGCCAGAGAATGCAGGAGAGTTGTGCAGGTGCGCCCCCAGCTCTACAAGTGTAGTTCGGAGTTAACAAAGGAGTATGAGCCCCAGCAATAATCATGCATTGAGAACAATATACACACGCTACTGTATGTAGGGTCAGTTTGCTGCTGGCTGCGGTTGTAGTTGCATGTTAAGATGATTCATGAGCTGCACATCTGAGATGATGTTAGGGAGAGGTCCCGACAGCCTGGTGCGGCACCTAAGGGTGGGCTGCAGACTCTCGACTTTACCAGCAGGGACAAGATTGTGATGCAGAGTTTAGGCCCTAAAAAGGCCATTCGCGGAAGTCTGGCAACATGTGAAAGGCACAGCAGGTTAGGCTTGGGGCAGGCGAACTAGCTTTCCTTTTCGTGCGTTTTCAAATTTTCTCGTTTTTCCAACTTAGCACCCCCATTGTTTGTTTGGGAGTACCCTTTGGAATCAGCCAGCTGCGCCCACCGCAAGGTTTGCCTGTTGAGAAATTGCCCGCTGAATCTGCTGGTCATTTGTGACGCCCTGCAGTGCGTGGTGTGCTTTGTGTGCGCCGGTGCTTGTTCATTGGTTTCGCTGCAGAAGACTGGTGGCGTCATGTTCCACCTCGATGTATATGTGTCGCAGAACCGGGTCGGCAGGGGGTGTCTTTTTGGCGTTTGCATACCAGGTCTGTCTTGGGGTCCAAATTTTGGAAGGCCGCCACGATCTCGCCCCTTTGCCATTCTAATCGTTCAAGCACACATTGGAAGGTTTCTATCCAGATGAGTTCCTCGCACGGTTGATTGTCTAGGATTGAGGGAAATTCACTTGGGATGAATGTCGACACCCCTGCCTGTTCCAACGTTATTGCCCCAGTTCTGTCTAGTCATGTTGTGCTGTGTTTCATGTCCCATCACCGCGCTCGCCCGTGTCTGAAAATGACGAGTTAAGACGAAACGCTGCAGTCGCACAGGCAAACTGAAGACATGTGGGACTCTTCTAACACATGGCTCCAAATAGAATTCTTCAAACTCCATTCCAAGCTGACTTCAACCCGTCTGCAAGTTGTTGCAACCAGATAGAACATAAACTTGAAACAATATAGAATTTGTATTTGAATTCGATGTTTGGAATAAGAATTGATATCAGATTTTTACACATATCATCAGAATCCATTTGACTTTGATATCTGATTTCAATATTGAACGTTGACTGTCCGTTCCTTTTTTCAAAGTCCGAAATCCCACATCGAGAATCAGATCGAAGATTAAGGTGCAAACTTCAGAGCGCACACGGAAGCTTGAATGGAAATGAAAACTGGATTCTCAACCTGCTTTTCGACCCCTGTTGCCATTAAGCAATAGTGCTTGCATGCCACTAGGGACCGTGTGGAGGTGCTGGTCACAAAACTGCCTTTCCTTGAGCTCGCATCGATTTCCGACTTCACGTCAAAGGTAACCGTATCTTGAATTGCAGAGAGGTTGACACACGGAAGTGTCTGACTCGACTCCTGCCTGGCCCGCATGGAATAGAGCAATTATCTGTTAATTCCAGGAGTGGCCTGTATCTTTTTGGTATTGTTACTATTTTGTACTTCTTCCGTCCCAGATTTATTGTCGTCTATTTGAAAGACAAATTTCGTTACAAGGACGGCCTCAAAATTACAGAACAAGGTCAAAATTGAAAAATATTGGTCGCAAAACCCTCAACCACCAATTTTAAAGAATAAAAATTGAGACACCCCCTTGAGCGCAAGGCGAAAGGTAAAATTTGGTCATTTTTGACACCAAATATCGAGGTGTACTGGGTAAAAGACCCTTGATACAAAGTACTGCCAAATCCTCTATACTTAATGTTTTGACTTGAAATTTCGATAGCATGCTCCAAACTCACAATCACAATTTTGGTTGAAGTTTCGTTGAAAATAAATGTGGGCATGATGCGGAAATAATGCCCCCAAATCATAGACGACAACTAATCTGGGGCGGAGTAAATATTAGTTTACTGTGCTCAGTTTTGCCTATTCTTTGAATTACTGAGGCCAAAGATGACAATTAGTCTGGGACGGAGGAAGTGTTAGCTTACTGTGCTCAGTTTTGCCATTCTTTGAATTGTTGATGCCTAAACGAGCCATTGTGGCCATTGCCACAGTGTAATGTATCTGTAAATCTCTTGATGCAGGGGTGCAGGCGTGCTTTTGGGTGCGTCGGCAGCTCATGTGGCACGCAAACTGAATTCCTTCCACTTTTATGTGCTTCATTGTGACTGGTGAACATAGATGATCTTGCCATTGATGCAGCTACACGGTTTGTGCTTTGACGAAAAGAATGTAAGCAGAGGTGTAATCTTTGCTGCATGTTTGAAGGCATTTCTTTGGAAACTGCATCTGCACAATGAACCTGTGATCGCCATTGGTGATGTCATTCAGTTATTGCGCGCCAGGACTGCAAATGAGTTGCCACTTCAGCAGCGAAAATACCTGTGGTTAGCACCACTGCCTCTGTGACAACGTCCTCCTGTGTACCTTTGCTATGATCGGACAATTGTGACTGCCTTGGGTGTTGCCACAGTGTCGGCCAACCTCCTTGCAAGATAACTGCAACGCAATGGCATCTTGCACGACGGTTGACTCTGCTAACATTACTCAAAGTTGTAGGAGATTGCAGAACGCACGATCGCTGCTGTTGCAGCGCGTGGGCAATGGAGTTTGTGGCTGAACTGTGTAACATTTCTGAAAATTTTCAACAACAGTGTTTGGTGCCCTCCAGGCGGATCTTATTGACGCCAACATTGCCTCCGTCCACGTGCCGTTCTTCATGGACGGCCAATTCTCGACGCTAACCAGGTACTTTGCCAGACTGGATTGTGTGAAGGCTACCTCAACCTATATTTGTTTTCAGCCACTGAAGTGATTAGTGCAGTTGGTGTTGTTGCTTTTTGCGCAGTTGGAACTGTGCCGTTGTGTTTTCTTGTGTTCCTATTTTGAGCACTGCTGTGCAATACTGATATTTCTTGTCATTCAGAATAGCAACGCGGTGGGCTTCCATTTTCAATGATATCCCATTCCCTTCAGTGCCTGCCAATGGGAAAGTGCTGAGATCCAAAATACGACGCAAAGGATTCTTTGTTCACATAGAAGGCAAGCACGCCGTACTGTCGGCAGCCGCCCAACACACTTCTGTGCGATGATTCTTTCAGTACTCTTTCCATGCTTTGATGATGATTTAGGAGCCTCTGAGCCCAACAGCAAAGTGCGCAGCACAAAATAGCCGGCATGGCAATAGAATGTACATTCGAGGAGCAGGGGCGGAGGGTGGGGTGGACGGGTGGATGTGGAGGGTGGGGAGGGAAGGGCGGGCGGGGGGGGTCCGGGGATGCTGAGGGCCACACGAAGAGGATTGTGAAACAGCAACCATATCAAACAAGATGGCACCACAGCTATGCTTGCTGCTGGGATCCCTGTTGACTCAGCCAGCGCTCTCATTTCCCGGCCACTGTGCGAGAATCAACTGCGGATGTGGGGATCTTGGCGTTGTGTGTTCCCTCTTGCGCCAAAGCATGGCGTGGTACGACTCCCCCTTTTTGCATCCGGCCTGGCCCAATAGATGCTAGAGTCTAACCGTATTGTGTCATTTGGCGAGTGTTGATCAATCCCGTTTTGAAGCGTCATAACGGAGGCATCTCCGCAGATATCTGCAGTGCGCCGTGGCCCACTCTGGATGGTAACTATTGGATCCGCTGTGAACTGAATTGGATTTGTGCGCTGCAAGAGGGGGCATTGCAATATTGGATCTGTTTGTGTCTGCTTCGTGAAAACAAAGTGGACACGAACAGATATATCCTGACCTCGTTATGATGCATGGGTTGCGATGTGCAGTGTGATTTGCATTTCTTCCCCTTCCCTGTTGAATTATCGTTTGAAGGCAGCGGGACTTTTGCCGATTTTAGGGAGTTTGTGCTGTGTTCAGGGGCGAATGGTGCATCGACGGCTCCTTTCAGGATTTCATCACGAGCTCCAATTCCGACCTGTTGACTTGTGGCGGCAACACCGTCCTATTTGACTACTTGCAGGTGCGCTAAGTGCGCAGGATGGCCGGTTCTTCCACCAACATTCTCTCAGTGCATTTGATAGTCCATCTGCTCATTTCCAGGTTGTTTCACACAGCCTCTGCCAGTGTATATGTACATATGTTCACCGGAGAAATTTTATCTGTAAGTAAAGAAACAAATGCATGAACGAATATATGAATGAATAGATGCATGAATGAGTATAATCAAATAGTGGGCACCGGTAAAAATCAGGAAAAAATAGGCAAAATTCGTTTTTCCGGTGAGCCATACAGAATGGAACGAACTGCGTGACTGTTGTCATGTCTTTGGTATCTTTTGACCAGTGTTTTTCTTCCCCTTTGGCTGTGTCAGCGCCCTTGGATTGCACTTGCTTTTCCGGCAAACAGAGAACTTGCAGAAGATGTCTGGCACGTGAGTTGTCACACATCCGCAGTGCACGCTAATTTCCAACGTCTTGTATGTCCCACACGCACATGGCGATGGGCAACCGTACTGTGGAATACCCCGTGATCCAGCGGCGTCCAGGTGATGCGTGCGCGAAATGGGCGCACGACATCGCCCAGACACAAAGTCGTGGGCACCCACGGGTGGGTGGCGTTGTGCTTTCAAAGCGCTGTGGCGGTTGGTGTTGTTTCTGATGTTCGCACGGTGATCATCTCACCGTTTTGGGCGTTGCATGTACGGCATCCGCGTGTGAACGCACCAAGCCCACGCTGGCGCGTCCACCAGTTGACAGGGAGCTGGTTGCGACAGCAGACGTTCCTCAATAGCCGCCCTGCTGCTGCAGAGTCCTTCCTCAGGCACCCTCTGTGTGACGGCTGATGGGATTTGATGTGGCATCAGCACCAGCAAGTGCCGTAGCTTCCGCCCCATGGTCGCAAACCACCAACAGCTCTGCAAACTCGAGCCCCCATACTCCAAATGTGCCCAACTGGACGTAAACATAGGATTAGCAAAGGGAAGCAGATGCTCTTCATTGTGATGCTCAGAAATCCAATGCGCGCGTGTACAGGACAGCTACCTGGCGTCCGAGAGGGCGGACTTCATGAGCCTGAAGGAGTACGACGAGGTGAAGAAGCTGATGGATTTGGGGTACAGGCACGCCCAACGTCTATACGACGGCGGCGAATTCGACAGGTTCGACTCCAGCATGTGCCGACAGGGCTGGAGGTGGCGGCTGTGGCCTCAGTGGAGCTTTGGCTCGTAGACGGCCGTGTGGCGTCGATCATTGAGTGCTGATTCTTTATTTGTCATTGTTGTGTGGACAACTGTCGTGACCGCGGTGGGCGGGTGTGTGCGGACCGCGGCGGGTCAATATGCGTTGATGCGCCTTCGCAGGGCATGACCTGGCATTGTTGTTGATCCTTGTATGGCATTTATTGAAGATATCGATTATCAGTCAATCTGAGCTTCCATGACTATTCAACAAGCAGTGCATATACGCTGACTTTCATCATTAGCAAGCCGCCGATCCTTCTGTACAATTTCCGGGATTGCACAATGGTCGCCAATTGACCTCCAAAGGCCCTCAGACCCAACTTCAACTGTGAGACGTCCCCAGGCGCATGCCCCAGCGATTTTCAACGCGCCGGGCTGGTTTCCTACAATTTCCGGGCGCATTGGTCAGGACAAGCCATGGACATCAGGAGTCGGGGGCGACACTCACGCGCAAAGGGGCCTGACCCCCAGCGTCACGTAAAACACGACGCCCCGATGCAGGCCTCTGCGGTCTCCTCCCACATCTCGCCTGCTCTTTCCCGTCCCCTTGTCAAGTGCTTCACACCGCATTGCGGGCAACAAACCCTGCTTCACAACCCAGGAAGGGGAGGCCACAACCCTAGTTTGACACTGGCACGGTGTGCATCGCATCTGCAGCACCAAAGACTGAGCAGGCGTTGGAAAGAATGGACCGGACTGGCCTCAGAGTCGCCGGAGATGGACATTCGGGATGACATCCGCTGCGCCTCATCCCCCAAAGCCCTCCTTAACCCTTTCCAAGAATGTCCTGGGCTCGAAGCGCTCCAGGAGCGGCTGCAACATGCGCAAATGCGGCCATGTCAGCACAACGTCAGCCACGGATTCCCGCCACCACATTCTGAAATATGCATGTGCTCCGTTGTCCAAAGGGTGGCAAGCAGGAAAGGGCACCCATCGCAACGGACAGCAGAATATTCATGGAAAATGTATCGGTCGATTTGTTTCCAAATGCGCCACGCCGATCTTCGACAGCCCAAGGGGCTTCTGTTCTGGTGGGTTGACTCTGTTTACAGCCAAGCCAAGAAGTTCCACAGTCCTCAAAGAGGGGAAGGGCAGGGGGGATGCACCGAATATTATTGGTGCACCACATCGAGGGTCACAAACGCTGGCTCTGCCTTGCACGAAAAGACGCCAGCAGCAGAGACAATACACACGCTGTGCCACTGTATGCATATCAAGCCACGACAGAAGGCCCGTTGCAGAACTTATCCACCTTAACAGTGGATGCCCACGGGCAGAACACGACGTCATAAGTTCAAAGCCCTGGGGCGCGATGCGTAAGAAATCTACCTTGAGAGGCAGCATTAGCTTCCACAAATTCAAAGCCCTGTGCAATTCCCACACAAAGGTGCCCAGCCCCTGCCCACACCCGCCATCAAAAGTGTTCCATTGTGAACCCATCTAGGCCGCGATTGGCAGGCATAGTTGTTGGCACCTTGTTTTCTACACATCGCCCCAGCAATAAAAAGAGCACAATTGCCAAAGGGCTGAGTGCCAGCGCCAGGGTAGACGATATCATTCGGGGCACAATTCCCTCAAAAATCCAGAGGTCAATCAGGCAAACTGCGCCTTGATTCACAGGGCCCAGAGACATCCTTGCTTGAGATGCGTTTTAAATTTCCGATTTTCACACAACATCAGCATAATCGACATTCAATCAAAGCCCTGCACGACGCAGACACGACACGGTGGAAGGGGCGCTGCCCACCACCACCTCAATCCCGAACAAGGCTTTGGCATACAAAGCACCATTCATCCAACTGTGCAACTGAGCAACTCAGATGAACGTCTAATCATTTAACTTCCCAGTTCATTGACAATTCGGGCACTGGGGTTTGAGGGGGTTTGAGATTCCACTGTCAAGGGCCGGCCTTAAGGGCGTAGCCGGCTTCGTATGAAGTACTTGCGTAGCAGATTGCAACTGCACAGAGCGCCGAGGTGATGAAGGGCGATAACTGCATCCTCCATATCATCAGGTGGTTGGGCACAAATCAAGCAGCCAGCACATCAATCAACCGATCCATCTGTCCAATCAACCAGACCAACAGAATTGCGTTGAATGCCTCTTTGACAGCACATAATCATGGCACCAAGTTCTCATCGCACTACAGCGCCTGTTAGTTCATAAGCTTGGCAGGGGCATCCTTTCTGTGCAACTGCCTCCCTCTCATCATTAATCAACCTCTGGCAAGAGTGCGCTCCGTTGTGGTCAACATTGTGGCCAGGTAGAGCCGATGTTGATATCAACGGCGCATGTTTTTATTGCTTTGAGGAAAGAACCGAGGTTTAATGGCCACACCATCGTGGCAGACATGCTATCGCCATCGTTTGAAGACTTTTAGACTGCTGCATTGCATCGATCCGTCCTTCAGCTTTCCAGTACTTTGAACTGCTGTTTGTGCATTCACCAATGCTTGCACACCACAGAGTCCTTTCGAATTATTGCTACATTCCAGCGACCCAATCAAGGTACCAACACATTAACATACAATGCCATGTTGCCGTGATGGACACCCCTGCGAACAAACAAGAGACGGATTTTCACTGTGGCCATGCAGACAATTGCACAGCCTACGTTCGTGGTTTTCACGAATGCTCCCTCTTTTGTTTTCATTCTTGTGGACTGCAAAGCAGAAAACGACCCAGCATGGTCTCGCTAGCAGAGAGTTACTCCATCACATGTTGCAACCTGCTGGGATTACAACACAAATCTTGGCATACACACGAACAGTGACCGGTACTTCATGCAGACGCCACCGGGCTCAACATGCGTTGCTTTTGGTGCACCCATCCTGCTTTCGATCTTCCTTCGATTCCCACAATATGTCCGTCAGGAATGGTTGCTCCAAACTATGACCAATTTCCAGATTCTTTGCATCAATCTTGACAAACATACGGGCATGCTTATGATGGCAATGTAGCAGTGGTGTTCTGGCACTCACCAGCAAGGGCTTTGAGCCCTGCCCTCACTTCATCCTTTCCTGAGTAGCAGCAGGCAATGTTGTACAGGGCAGCCATTTTCTCGCCTGTGCTTATCTCTCGAGGTTTGTTCCTGGCGGTGCATGCAGAACAACACAGTTTCTGAGACCCGATGACCCAACATTGGCGCTAGAGAATGTGGTCAGTTCTGATGAAACATTCACTCTGCGACTAAGCAAACCGCATCTAACCTTCTCTGTGTCGACCAAGGACAAAGGTGGTCACAAAGCTATCCCATCCACAAATTGCATGCCATCGGCTGCAAAACAAAAGTACCCGCAGCACGGAGAATGTGCTCCTGCTCGATGCACAAAACAACAACAATGCCAGACGTCACAACCGCTGCCATCCAAACCACTTCTGGCCCAGACATATCTTGCTGACGCTGTACTGCGCACCGCGAGTTGCCAGCGAACAACATAATGGTGAAGCACAGTCCAACACATCCTTAACAGCTCTATTCCAGCCAAGTCGTCTTAGTCCCAAGGGACCATGCGGCAAGCACATGCCACCAGCTGCCTTGTTGCCCAAGATGGCTCATGCAGCTGTAACACAAGTTGGCGGTCGACCATGCAGCACACAATGCTGCCAGTTTGAAAGAAATGTGTACCTGAACCTCTGGACACCAGAGCCGGGAAGGTCCAATGCTTGCTGGAACAGCACCAGCGCATCATCATACCTGCAGACAAGAATTCCCAGACAATGACGTTACTTCGATTGATTCAATAACTTCTGGTGTCCGCCTAGTAGATGTTTTGCCAAGCGTCCAGCACAGCATGGGAAAGAAGGACTGAAAAAGCTGCCACAGGTCTTCTTGATTCATCGCACATGATTTTTGTACCACTTGAAGCTACAACTTTCAGAGTCCATGCCAACTCTCCATGTCAGCCTTTGCTATGAAAATAATGCTTCTGGTCTACCCATCACAGCCATAACATTGCCAATCCCTCCCTTCTTCGAGCTTCACCCCAACCTTCCTGACTCGTATCTCTTCAGACCCATGATGATGGCGTTTTTGGCAGTGTCAGCCATCTCAAAGCCATCCTGATCGGCATCGATATCTTCAAGAAGGTCACCATCCCCATAGCCACTTTCTTCAGCGGAATGCTCTGAGCACTTCAAACTCCAGTTTTTTGAAATGCACCATTCTCGGCTCTGCAGATGTGGCCAGCTCTGGGTGCTGTGTGGCGCCCCTCTGCACAGCCAGCCATAACTGTGTAAGTGCCAGAAGGCTATGTGAGCAGTCCATGCGTACTCCGGGAACAAAAAATGCCTATCATCACACATAGGGGCAGGGGCAGTGCGTTCTTTCGTGTATGTCACAAATTGATTCGAATGCAAACTGTACTGTCAATTGAGTACAAACTGCTTGGAAGTGATGAAATTTTTCTTCTGCCATGGTTGCTGAGCATGAGAATCTAATGGCTCCTACGTCATCTTGTACAGAATGGATTGATTTAAATACAGACATATCTGAACTGAGAATATAATTCATAGATTTAATCAGCAGATTGTATTGAAGTGAAACCGAGTACCACAGAACACGGAGGACAAACCCCCACCCCCCTTGGCCTATCTTGCATACCCCCCACACTCCACAACACCAGCCATGTTTGACAACGCCCGGGTATCTAAAGGCCTTTGTGCTATTCAACGCACCCCGCACTATCCTCCATGATCTACAGTAAATCAACACATTGTCAGGACGGGATTGCACATGAACAGCACGTTTCCCATCTGCTGGCACGACAATCAACTGCTCAGTCCAAAATATGTCAGCACATATGATGTATAGTATTCTGGACAAGAGTACAAAGATAGTAATTGGCGGCGATGTTGATCTCCATGTGCTGCATGGATCAAGAAGACAGCAAAGTGAAGTGACGAGGGGCACAGAAGATACTGGTTACATTGCTAATTTCTTAATGAAGAGTCGATTGCAGCCGCAGATGGTCTGAATAATTCGTATAATTTGTTTTTCTGTCTTCCTTACAGGATTACCTTCAGCATTTGCAACAATGACTCTACCTAGTATGTGGTGAATCAACAATTGTCAGCCTACAACTATTGCACGTATCAGTGCGAGTCTGTGCTTCCTTCACCGAAGGCTGTTGATGGAGGGCATAGTTGTGCAACTGTGCTCGGTTGGCGATGTAGGCATTAATGGCACAGCAACTGTACCGGCGTCTTGCTAATTCCAACAGATTTCATTACAAGCCACAGCAACACCAAGCCCCTGGCCCAGGTCGCATTTTCAAGCTTGGGATCAGTCCAATTCTTAGGATAGAACAAGGTAACCTTTCGTTGCATCACCGTGCTGACAGCCATTAGCTCGGAACACATCATCAACTGCCAGCACCGCACTGAGATGGTGATCACATCCCTATTCATGGCCACACAAGGCAAAGCAATCTCTCACATTGCGGACAGCACTCTTCTTCTATGGGCAGAAGATTACCCGCTTCCTTGAAGCTGAAATGTGAAGAAAGGATGTGGGCGGTGCCATGGGCGGAGAAAGCCCTGAATACGCCAATTGTCCCGAAAGCGGTTTACTGAAGTGTCCTTTGTCGACGCACGACCGCCGCGCACTCGGCAGTGGCCGTTGCCCGCCAACAGGTTTTGCGCGTATTGCGCGTATGGACAGTTTTGTTCCCATTCCGTTTTCATATCACATTCGTCGCAAGGTTTCCGCCGGCCGGACCCAATAAACCCCAGAGGTCCCTCCTCGTGGCCGCCCCGCCCTGAGGCGCACCACCCCAGATGGGCGCCCCACACATAGCCACTACGCTCAGTGGGAACGGTCCGCAGCTGTTTTACCGGCATGTACGGACGGGGTTGTGTTTCTTGGGTCAGTGCGCGGATAACAGGTGCCCGTTCTCCACGCGGCCCTTTCACTGCGACCACGCGCGATGGAAGTGCGCAGTTCTCGAGCGCAGCAAGTACCTTGGAGCAGCCAACCGCAGCCAAGTGGACGTGCCAGGTCCCAGCCCTCGAAGGCCCTGCGCGACGGGGCGCGACGACGTTGGTTGGGTGGGCTGCATGCTGATCGGAGTGGAGTGCGGAGGCGGAATGGCGACCTGAGGACGAGCATGTTCCCTCTCAACGGAGGGCCCCAAAGCGTCGCTTTTTGCCCATTTAGGCTGCACTCTGCCCAATCTTCCCAGCAGGAGTGTACCCTGTTGACCCTTGGGCTGCACAATCGGTGTTGTAATTCACGTCCTGTTAAAACCGTGGCCAGCATCAGCCACAAAACGGCGGCATGATCATCAGAGTTGTCGCAAACGAAAGCCAAAAACTTGGGCTCGGTCGTTGATGATCATCGCGTCCTATAGGACTTCCGTGTCTTCCCCTTCAGGTCGCGCTCTCACCTGTCATCTCAAACACTACGGTATCTGGCAAAATGAGTCGCCGCACCCTATCAAAACCCGGTCAAATACACCAAGGCAACGCCCATGCCGCCCTGACCGGTGCTCCACTTTTGCAACTCAGTAGCGAAAACATCCAGTGTTTGCAGCCATGCCACCCCCAAGTCGCGGCAAAAGTTGGCAAGGGCCCCTAACAAGTTCTGGTGGCGCCATGCCCATCACGGCGGAGTGATTGACGCTGCCACTCTTTGCAACCCGCAATCACGTTGTTATGCACGTTTCCCTTCACCGTCAGCACCCCCGGCGCACCATCATGAGTGTCACCCGCCGCGAGCACCAACGCCAACAGAATTCCCAACAGCACTCAATCCCACGGATTCTGAGTCAGAGTCACACACATCACAAAGCGACCCTGACAGACCGGCCCACGAGGCAGCGTGGGACTTGTGACCACCTGCCGTGTCGTCGCCTCCACGCGCCCATCGTCGCACAGCCGCACGGACAGAAGGGAACGCATTAGCTGGCCCCAGGACTTCAGTCTTCGGCCTCTGCCCCACTGGGGTGGGCAGAGCCGTATTTGTATCTGGCGGGCACGACATGCCGTGCCCGCCACTCATTACGAACTCATGAGCCCACTCCACCAGAATGTCCGTCTGCTGTTCCCTGCAACTTCTCACCCTGCGTCTCTACGCATCGTAGCCCGCGATCCGTCACTGCGCGCCCTGCAACGCATGGCACATCACTCTGCACCGCGCGCTTCATCGCGTTGCACCCCGCGGTTCGCCCGCTTTCTCCGTGGCATCGACCCATCAAAGCCCACGCCAATGCCAGCCTCACGTGATCCCCCAAACCGCCGCTCCATCAGCCCCCGGGTGCTGCCGACCACCGCGATGGCCCTGAGCGCCATCCTTAGTACTGGGCCACCAGCTGGCTCTATGAAGCACCGATGTTTTCTTGTGAGTTAAAACCAAACTAGCCCTCGTGGAGCCGTTGTCTCACATTGAAATATGAAAAAGAACAGAGAAGCAGAGAAACTGAATGAAGGACAACCAAACGATCGTTTGTCCTCGTTCTTTCTTTGAGGAAGAGAAAAAAAAAGTCCACAATTAGGCAGAGCCGTGAACACCACAAAATGGACTGTGTTCATGAGATGAACGTGTTAAGTTCTGACGCGTTCCTTATTGATTGATGCTTTCTGCATCGATGCAGAAAACGCGTGATATCACGCGTCTTCCTTGGATTGTCGCGTCAGTGCATATATCTCAGACTGTGTTCTCAACAACGCATCCTTGGAAATTGAATGGCGTGTTTACACTGACACGCCCTCAGGAGATTCCCGAACAAACTAGGTGTAGTTTGGCCCGCTTCTTGGTCAAAGGTGGTTTTGTGACAAATGCCCAATATTCTGCTGTCGCAGTCCCCCACCCCCACGGTGCGCAGTCGATTTGACGTTAAAGCATAAGATATCGCGTTATCTCGATATCGATATATCGTCGATCGACGCATTGACTCCCCTAGTGCTGCATGAAGACATGAGTGTCAACAAATGTGTCAACACTCAACGACTCGGTGGCCTTTCCCGCGACCCCGGGGAGGGCCCCACCCCCGGGGTGGCCATCTGCGGGTGGGGGGTTTCATTCGCAAAAGAATAGATAGACAAATCAGGGTGGGGTGGTTGGATATGCCCCGGCCCCGCAGCGTTCCCTGCTTTCTGGCCCGGTGGCGGGATGTCAGAGAAGGGGCATCGCAGTCGAACTCCCGTTGACTGCAACCATCGCATTTTAGGGACCACGCTTCACAGCTAAAGCCGCACCACGCCGAGGCAAGAACAGCCGCAAGAACATGACGGCGAACCCGGCAGCAAGCCCAATGTACGTCGACACCCGCACTGTGGCGCCGTGGGCGAGTGAGGTTGACGACCCGGTCTCCAAGCCCGGACCGTTGTCTCACTTTTTCGACCGCGCTCCGTAATGGTTCGTGACAGCGCTGCGGGCCACGCGTCCACGTCACGTCGCAGGACGTCACACCACCCGAATTGTCCAACCGTCCCCCACGGCCTGGCGCGCCCGATGGTCGCCCGTACTCCGCCTGTCTCCGGAGGCCCCCACGAGGCACCCGAACCGGGCCCCCCGGCCCCCTGTCCCTTCATCACCCCCTCGCCACACACCCCACACCCTCGATTCCGCCCTGCGACCAACTGTTTGCCACCGCCCAGGGTCTTCGCGGTGCTCCCTTACTTGAGCCCATCCCGTCCCTCGTTGCGGCGTCCTCACGGCCGGACCGGGCGGGATGGCCCGCGGGAGACCTTCCCCGGCGGGCCGGATGGCCTGCCTGGCGATCGTGCTGCTGGGCGCCGCGCTGTGCTGCGCCGCGAGGCGGGGGCCGGCTGGGATCCCGGGAGGGGCATCGGATCTGATCGGCGCGGCGCTGCTGGGAAGTGAGGGGCCCGGCCTGGGGGCGAGGCTAGGAGGGGCCGTGCGCGACGCAGGTAGGAGTAGGGCGGGAGTCCGTAGCCACGGGGAGGATGACTGCGTGGTGGGGAGTGCTGACTGGTGTGTAGGGGACAGTGTGAGGGGTAACTGGTCACCGATGCGCGCGCTGGTGGCTGGGATGGCTGAAAAGCGCGTAAGCCTGGCTGGGCGGCGGATGTTTGCGGGCAGGAAGTGGGGAAATTTTCGTCGCGACTGGGGACAGATATTGGTGATCATGGGGCGAATCCGCGGTGTCGAGTTCGGCTCCTCGCGGGGAATGTGGACGATGCCTGCAGCGGACCGTCGGCGGGGGGTCGCCGCTCGCCTGGCCGTCCGGCAGCTGGCCGCGTTCCGCCCGAGCGCTGATGTCCGCGCTGTTTCGAGCGGGCGGGTGGTGTGGGCGAGGCTGGCCGTCTACCCGGCAAGGGCAAGGGCGCATCGTGGGCAACGATTTGGCTCTAATCAGTAATCATCGGGCAGTCGGCCGCCACGCGGGGTTCTGGCAAAACTGGGCAACTTTCCGCCTGCCATTGTCTTTGACGAATCGAACAGAAAAGCCACGGGGATAGCTGGATGCGACCAGATTGGCCAGCGGGGCTAACGGTGACGCTGCGAACTGTTTGCTGAAAATGGCGGTTTCATGTGACGGGGCAGCAGGTTGGGGCACGCGGACGGCTCGCCAGTGGGAGGGGCTGGGCCAGAACTGGGAACGCGGATTGGCAGCGGGCACGGGCTTTGCTGACGGCGTTGGCAGCCAATTAGAGCTCAAGTCGCACGCTCCTCAATAGTCAGTGTACCCTTGAAGCCAGAGCTAAATTACTAAAATATCATTCTGCCTGTGAACGTGCCGTATTGTTTATGGTGGCAAAGAACCAATTTCTAGCAAGAGTTTACGGTTTCAGAAAAGGACTTGCAGCATAACTGAAGCGGTCACGGTTGTGGAACTCCTGCATATGTGCATGTGTGCATATGTGCATATGTGCACATGTGCATGTGTGCATATGTGCATATCTGCACATGTGCATGTGTGCATATGTGCATATCTGCACATGTGCATGTGTGCATATATGCACATGTGCACATGTGCATGTGTGCATATGTGCATATGTGCACATGCGCATATGTGCATATGCGCATATGTGCACATTTGCAGGTGCATGTGTGGAACTGCGTTTGGACAACCCTTCCATACCAACAACCCGGTGGCCATTTCGGGAAGAAATTGCACGCACTCCTAAAAAGCTGTGGGGATTCCCTGAGCCCTGACTTGGGCTTCAACATGACCTGCACCCCTCTTTTGGATGCAGACAAATTGGCTCCAGCTGCAATCACAAGGGCTCTTCAAGGTGACAGTTGGGCAGCCCGAAAATTGAGGCAGGCGATCGAAGATAAAGATGTGGTGGGTTTGTGTTGAGTTACTTTGCTGCCACCTCAAGTGTTGCGCAGATGGCAATGCTGAATTGCACTGTGAGGAGATACAAAATTGCATTGGGGGCCAGCGAAAGGGCAAAGGCAAGCCCGCTTCTGGCGCAGCCCTTGCACATGCACCAATACTAATGCTGATGCCGATGGGGACAAGTGCTGTGTGGTGGGGAATGTGGGGTGTGGGTGTGCTGTGTGGGGTGAAGTGCTGTGGGTTCATTGACAGCAACGTGAATTCGTGCAGTGCTTCACTGCTAGTTCTGGTAGTAAAACACTGCATGAATTCCCCCTGCCGTCAGTGCCACACAGCACTTGTCCCCACTGGCGTCACCATTAGTATTGGTGCATGTGCAAGGGCTGTGCCAGAAGCGGGCTTGCCTTTGCCCTCACGCTGGCCCCATATAGTCAGCGTTGTTTGGGATCCTGGTACCCAAAAGCATGGGAAGTGTGAGCATTGGCTCTGCTGTGCAGCAGAGAGGCTTCGCACATATCGTCATTTGCAAATGCTACTATGTTCCCTTTTGACTGTGGACATATACTGCATCTTGTGTATTTTTTCTGGACTGCACTTCACAAAAAGAAAAGATTCATTCCATCGAGCACCTGGAAGAATACTCATGGATTATGTTGGTGCTTTCGTGCACAATCTCTACATGTGCTTCTATCATCGGTCCCCATCTCGGAATACCGGCAGGCAATAACGTACACCTTGCTGTCGTTTCACTGATCGCAGTATGTTTTCTGTCGATAACGATGCCAAATTTTGTTGTCCAGCTAACAGCGATGGGGCACTGGCTGTTGAATGCATTACAGCTCACAATGGCAGTGTGGTGTGTCATTGGATGACATGTGGGTTGTGAGACCACTGTGGGAGAGATCAGTCAAATGTGACATATACCATGTATAGTATGTGCATGGGCAGCATTCCCTCATGTTCTGAACACTTCGTCAGCGCACTTTGCACAAAATCATCGCCTCCAACACCATAATCTTGCAACTAACATTAACTGTCAATGGCCAGATTGGTTTGTCTTTAAAGCTGGTTGCCATGTGCACAGTTGCTACTCGATGCTGTTTCTGAAGGCGACATTGATGAGGTGGAGCAGCTTATTGAGGATGGTGCCGATGTGGATGCTGTAGATGGCAACGGGAACACTGCCCTCATGCAAGCCACTTTGGATGGCGAACTTGACGTTGTGAGGTGCGTTGTGATGCGGACATCAATGCCAACTGCATTCGCCGGAATATGGCAAGAATAACTGTGCATGCCATGTCAGACGGAGAGGTCACAAAACACCAGTCAATGTGCAGTTTGTCCATGTCCTTTTCAGTTATGAGGTGATGCCAGACGCACGCAGGTTGCTGTTCAGCACACCATTTCATGTATGTCTGAATCTAGTAAGTCAGCTCTGCAAGAGAGGAGGGCAAGCATCAATCTAAACGACGCTTGGGGAACAGAAAATGCAGTGCGCTTTTTCCCTATGGCAATAGGCGAGAGCTACGGCTGCGCCCTTGTCAGTGCAACGAGTGTGTCCATCCCATTCTGGTGCTTGCCATTGAAGTCTGTTGTTTGTGGTGAATTTTATGTGGCATGGAAGTTGACAATTCAGCAATGAAGTGTTGTGTACACCCACAAGCCATGTTTCCAATGCTTACGGGCCCTATGAAGTGGTGACTTTGGTGAGTGCTGCAGCAGTCCGAGCATTATTGACAAGTGAACATGACAAAGATAAGCTCAGCACAAGTGCTGTATTTCTGCCTGGTTATGACCTGTGTGTTCACTGGCCAGAGTCCTCCTTGACGCTGGTGCAGATGTGAACAAGCAGGGGAGTTTCGGGGCCACGGCTATTCGCATTGCTGTGGAGATTGAAGATGCAGCCATCTTGGAACTCCTCCTCAAGGTAGGTTAACAGCCAGCTGGGTAGCCGAATTCATTCCCAAGCTGCGCCCTTGAAGCAGCAGTGACGTTTCGAACGGTCGGGATTCTGTCAATCATAGGCAGAAACAAGATTTGGGGCAGACATCTACTATGTATGAGCTCGTCAGTGAGAAACCACAGAACAGTTTGTAGCAAGATTGAAGAAAATGGAGAACAATGAACTACCAAAGAACCAAATCGCCTCCACAACTGCACAGAAGTTGTTCCTACTTTTAGGTTGAATGGAATGTTTTGTAGCAATTGACGACACGCGTGTTGGGGGGGGGGGGGGCTCTGGACTGATAAGTCCTTTCTTGAAGAAACAGCGGTGATTTCGTTCCGCATACTGTCAGAGAGATTTGTTGGTGGATGTTTCTCAATTTTGGGTTTTCTCACGTGTAGAAACAAGGGTCCACACGCTTGAAGTGTGATCCTGTGATCTTGATATGAGTGTGCTGGCATTAAGTTTTTATGCCCATCATTCAAGAGACATGCAAGAGGAATTCCTATGGAAGCACTTTTGCATATGTATAAGAGCAACATCCATTAGGATACATGCAATGTTGCCATTAGGGAACGTGTTCCAGATACAGCACCAAGCTGCGATCCAAACCGCAAGAATGGTTGTGACACCATCCAATACTCTTTCGACACCTTGCACAACAGTGGTTGCCACATTGTCAAAATCCTCTGCAACAGCAAACCATCCACATTCATCTTCTTTATTGTTATACCTTGTTTGCTTTTCCTTGGCACGGTCTATTGCCATCCTTTTCTGCGCACTCCCATAGTGCCATGGGCATTGGTCTTGGCTCATTGGAATGCAGCCTGACTGCAGCATGTGACACGCGCCCATGATTTGGTTTGGCCCCAGAGCGGTGCTGACACTGAAGTACGAGACGAGGAGGGGGCCACGCCACTGGTCGCCGCAGTCATATTTGACGCCCTGGAGATGGTGAAGATCCTGTTGAAGGCAGGTGCCGACCCGGACGGCCCGTACTTGACATTTGGGTACACACCCCTCATGTTGGCAGCGCAAAGAAGTGAGGTTGACATAACGGAGGAGCTCCTGAAGGCCAAGGCCGATGTGCAGTACCAGGCGCCGTCTGGAGTGACACCATTGCATCATGCGGCAGCGTTTGGCAATGCAGAAGTCACCATTGTGAGTCGAATCGATAGGAGTAGTTTTCTTGTACTTGTTTTCCAAGTCTTGAGTGTGTGCATAGCAGGTGATATAGGATATCAGTGGCTGTCTCAATCCTTGCAGAACGATGGGGGGCTGCTGCTGCCCCACAACTCAGTGCAAGGTTATATGGGCTGCAGATGGGATGAGTTGCGATTCACATTTTTCTGATTATTATTGCATTGTCAGGCAATCAGTTGGAGATCCAAAATATCACCATGTGATCCAAGGAAACAAACACACCCACCCTCACAAGAAGCGTCCCAGAATGTGAACATTTGTGTTTCACCAGTACGTTCCCTGTCAGTATCATCCAGGAGGATTGCATAGTGAGTGAATAGTTTCATATGTTCTGGTGTGTCCTGATGCCGTGAATGCACCATTGTGCAGTTTACAACTGTTAAGTATTTTAAATGCATGACAATTCAATATATTTCAACTGCGCAACAATCCAATGAGCCCTGTGTAAACTGCACTGCCATGCCCTTGCCTGACTGTTGCTATTCCCCCTTTGTGTAACTTGTTGCAGGCGGCAGTAGATCTTAGACTATTTCTGCTTGTCTGTCAGATTCTTTTGGACGCGGGTGCAGACCTTGAGGCACAAATGTTTGAGCTGGGACACACTCCAGTCTTGTATGCAGCTAGATTTGGAAACCAGGAGACGTTTGAGGTGCTCGTGTACAGTGGTGCGGATCTTACGGTGGAGTCCATTGGCAATCGCACGATTCTGCACAATGCTGCCCTTGCCCCAAACAATACCGCCGTCTTCGAACTTCTGTTCGACAACGGCTTGGACATCAACGCAACGGATGAAGTTGGGCAGACGCCCATCAATCTGGCTGCCTGGATTGGAGACAAGCCCAACATCGAGATTCTTCTGAGCGAGGTGAGATGCTTGCATCTTGGGAAGGGGTGTGTGCAGCAGTCTAATGATTTGCCAACAGTCTAGCAAGTGTCTGTTGCATTAAGCGTTGCGGTCATTGAAGCCAGGTCCCTGCGGGCTCACACAAACAGAAATTATGACGCTTGCAGCAAACCATCACTTTCGGTTCCCAAAGGACAGCATCTGTCCACAGAGCAGACGACACTGTTATAACACCAATGCTTTCCAGTGCAAACATGCACTAAGGCTGGATGCACTCCACGACCGCACGAACTTGCCCAAGAGCACGCCCATACTGCTCCTGCAGCTGGGTTGCAAAATTGATTGGTATGCATGTGCATCAGCAGGTTTTACAAGATTGAGCGAAAGGTAGCCCTGGTGCCGGGGTTGTGATCAGATATTTCTGCAACGCCAGTCACTGGAAAAGAAATGCTGACCCATCTTTTGCGCGTATTGTTGAATAATGCGAGCGTTTGCACTGTGGATAGGGCAGTCATTTTGACACGACCCTTCTTTGTCGCATTCTTTTCTGGGGAGTGGGCCAAAGAATGCCATGGAAGTGAGTATTGCCCTGTTCAAAATGCCACAGGCTTCATTCTCTTGATTGCATTTGAACAGAAGATGTGACAAATCATTGTTCTTCCTGCTTAAGGCCACACTGGGCTATGATCGATGCCCTTCACTTGTTCATGTTGCATTTTGCTTGTTCGTTTTAACCCAGCGCTACATTGCAATGGCTGCTGCTTAAACATCACGAAATCACAACTTTGGCTGATAGATTGATCAATGGGTGATTGCCACAAGAATAACGACATTGTCTATTGGGATCCCATTTTGGGGAGGAACTACGCCTTCCAAACCAACTAAAAAGCATTTCGATTTGTCTCGATGCCAGGAGGCCTCCAGACTGCCCGTGGCGCCCATGTTGCTGATCGCAATGTGTAATTCCTCAGGGTGCCGATCCTGCGCTCAATGGAATAATCATCTGCGGCTGTTTGGATGTCGAGTCGTCAACAAGATGCCCCGCCGACAACTGCTTGTCAAGGGAAGACATCGAAGAGATCCAAACTATTCTTGGCGTCGAACCTGGTCCGCAGGTGCGCATTGAGGATGTGATGATTGGCTTACGCCCCTGGAGATACAACAAAATACCACAAGAAACGAGTTTCCTGTCTCTGGTTGTGCCCAGCATCGGCTACAGTCTGCAATGGTGGTCCTGTAGCGATGATAGAATGCAAGAAATTACGTGTTGTGTTTCCAAATGCAATTGTTATAACCCCACCCAGCCCCATCACACCACCAACAACAACACCCACACATTGAATATTCATCGGCCGCACCCAAGAATGCCAGCTTCAATGGCGACAAAACCATACGATCAAAGTTGAGAACCTGTGATATGGCACCAGTGATGAATGTACGCCACACAAAACGAGCATCACAGGTAGCTCCACAGATGTGATCGGCAGTTGGTGGATTCCTGCACCAGATGCATTCTCACGTGTTTTACAGTTTTGGGTATGCATGCCAAAGTAGTTGCATAACTTGAGCGTTTCAGAACACACACTGTTTTTTCAGTGTTCCAAAATGAATGTGACGCAACCTTTGGAAATAGAAAAATGAGCACAATCAAGATGCATTGCCAGATCTTCATTGGCAATGTCCCTATGTTGACATGTTTGGGGCCTGTGCATCACGTTGCGAGGGATTGAATCTTTGTTCCATTGAACAACGTGGAAGGCTGTGCCTACCGTAGGTAAGCTTCTTTTCTGTTGCAAGGACAAACCCTTACTGCAGCAAAATTGTGCGCATGAAATGCTGCACTCTGCAGAGCACTGCCCTCAGGTCACTCTGAAAGCAGGTTTTGCACAGGCAGCTCCACAGCTGTATGCCTGCACACACAGTACACTGCTGCAACATGCCTGGTGCTGTCCATCTATCCACACGAACCATCCAGTTGCACGCTATTGGCCGTAGCACACTGGGTACTCCGATGCGGGTATGTCTGTATTTCTTCTGGGATCCCACCTTCTACTGCGCATTCCATGAGCTGTGAACGTTGTTCGCAGTCAGAGCACGAAACTGTTATCACCTCGGCGCGATCTTTCATTTGCCCACCCAAAACCCGCGCCAAAAGGACCGCCTTGGCTATCCCGCAGACGCTCGTGCAAGCCGTGATCGACGGCGACGAGGACGCGGTCCGCAAACTGATCGACGAGGGCGTTGATGTGAACGGGGCCACGGCCAGCGGCGACACGCCCCTCATATTGGCCTCCGCCCGCGGCCTCGAGACGATCTTCGCCGTCCTGCTGGACGCGGGCGCCGATGTCAACGCCAGCGACAGCATCGGCCTGACGCCCCTCATCACCGCCGCCTACTTCGGCCACCGGTCGATCGTGGAGAAGCTGATCGCCGCGGGCGCCGACGTGACCGCGCAACTGAACGAGGGCTTCGGTGCCGTGCACGTCGCGGCCCAGGAGGGCCAGCCGGAGATAATAGAGCTGCTGCTGGACGCGGGGGCGGACCCCAACTCGGGCAGCATCACGACGGACACGACCCCCGTGATGGTCGCCGCGGAGGGCAATCGCATCGGCGCCCTACGCGCCCTGATCGATGGCGGGGCGGACGTCACGATCCAGAACGGCGCGGGGCTGACGGCGTTGCACCTGGCGGCCACCAAGCAGGGCACCGAGAAGGTCATGGCGATGCTCATCAACGAGGTGAGGGGGCCGTGGCGGGCGGTCGCTGTACCTAGGCCTTCGAGGAGGGGCCGTTGCGGTGCAGCGTGATGCAGCGCGGTGCAGCGCGGTGCAGCGCGGTGCAGCGCTCTGCAGTGCGGTGCAGCAACTGCACAGCACCAGAACGAGCGAAATGCATATGCTATTATGGGTGAACGACAGCATGCAGGGATCCAAGTAGCGAAACGAGCCCGTCAGTAGTTGCTGTACCCTGAGGTCCCACACCAAGCATGCACAGCACTCACCCGACGTCCCCACGCCGGCTTCGCGCATTGTTGGGCGCCGACCCGCACTGACGACATCGACGGCGTGTGTGACCAGGGGAGCGACGTCAACGCGCGGGCCATCGCCAACATAACGCCCCTCTCCTTCGGCGCCTACTACGGCAACAAGGGCGGCGTGCTGTTCCTCCTGTCGCGGGGGGCGGACTCCACGATCAAACCCGACGACGAACGGCTGGACGAGGTCTGCGGCTGCCTCGCCCAGCTCCTCCTCCCCACACTGCGGCAGTGCGCCGTGGGGGCGTGCCGGACCCAGGAGCAGATTGACGAGATCGAGGAGCTGCTGGGGGGCGGCAGGCCGGCGGCCAGCCTCTCGGGTTCGGGTTCGGGGGCCGCCACGCCCGTCAACGGCACCGGAGCCGTGGCCTTGGCCTCCAGCGCCCAGGACTGCGCCAGCCTGCCCGACGTGGTGGCCCAGCTGGAGTGCGTGGCGGCGGGGACGAAGGAGCCCTCATGAGGTGCGAGGCCGGCGCTGAAGGGAGGAAAGGACGAAAGAAAAGAGCAAAGGGGGGGGAGGCGGGGAAGACGGAAGGGACGGAAGAGGCGGAAGAGGCGGGAAGGAAACGGCGCAAGCGGATTAACTGGAATTGGGTCAGGCCTTGGTGCGGTTCTTGATTGGCTTGGTCGCGATGGGCGGATCGCGCCTAGGCGGCCGGGCCGATAATGGCCGTGCCGCGCTGTTTGCCAGTGTCATAGCGTTGCTGATGGGAGGGCCAGCTTTGTGGTGGCCAGAAACTGGGGCGCCGCGGGGGGACAAGACGGTGGTCGGGCAGCAGCCGCTGCCAACAGCTAAGCTGGGGAAGTCGGGTTTAACGGAAGCAGGGCGGATCGGGGGTGTAGGCCAAAGTCGACAATGGAGGGGTCGACCGGGCGCTCGTTGTACGTCAATTTGTAGGGTGTGGGGTGCGCGCGCCGGGGAGTGGGCTGTCCTGTGCAACCACCAGTGCAGGGTTTGGTGGCGAGGTCTGCTGTGGCCGACATTGGGGCAGCCGATCCGATGACGGTCAGTGGCGGGGTGCGCCTCTGCTGCAGAACGTTGAAGTGGAGAGCATGAATTGTGGCCAAGGCAACCACTGATCGAAGTGCGTCGTACACCACCCCTTTGAGCCACACACATGCAGTCGCCTTCGCCACAGATTCAGATGCTCTTTGGTGGCACCTTCCACGCACAGTCCACCCTCCAGCGTCGCTTTTGTGCGATGTGTGCGCAACGATGCAACGTTCGTCGTGTGATCTACACCCACAATCGCCTCAGGCTGCGCATGCAATCTACTGCCGCTCGTGCAGGGTGCATTCCCTCCGCATGCAGTTTGGGCCAACATGCCAGTTGACAGGAACTGAAGCACAGGGCATCAGGTTGTGAGTGAACCAAAGACACCAGTGGTTCGATCTGGGCGGCACGAATGCAGTGGTGGCGTCAGTTGGCAGTGGCCAGTGTCCTTAGCGGTGCAAATCAGAACCAGCAGAACCCGAATTAACATGTGCAAGCGTTAACAATGGCATTTCGGTGGAACAGCTAAGGGACTATATAGCCGTCCTATGGGTTGCTGGAAACAAAGCTAAGCACTGGCGATTGGGAATGGCGATCCCAAACTCAACACACGTGTCGCATTCCAACAAAATCATTGTCAATGGGTCGGAGCTCGTGCCTGCCACGCTCGTACGCACCAAGTGCTCCGCGTTATTCTACCCAGCACAAGAATCTCTATCACAGTAGGAATCTAACTAAGAAGCCACCACGCCACGCACACTGTGGGTCATGAATTCCGAAACAACCAAACTACAAGGTGCCACATTTCTGTAAGCCATGAATGAGGAAAGAATCCAGTGGAGGGATGTCGCTTTGAGCGGGAAAGCGAAGGAAATCTGTGTGTTGGCAGGGCATCATTGCAGGCGTCCAGCCCTCTCAAGTGTCTGGAGTGCGTGGCTGAGACTCATGCTGGTGGAGCGAAGCAACACTGCCTGAATGAGGTTCAGCATGCGGGGGGCGAGAATGGCCATCTTCTCCACGGCCTCGTGGCTCAGGCACAACAACCTGAATTGCACCACACACCGCTGAAGTTGGAAAGGGCCAGCAATGAGCAGCCCTTCAGCACACAGCCTCAAGATGAGTAATAAGATGTCAATTGCTGTGGTGCCTGCCATCCGGCGCCAAAACTTGTGTGCTCGTGAGCTGGTTCCACATATTTGCTCACAAGACAGAGCACAAGTGGCGTATGCTTGAGAGAACACTATGCAAGGGGCGTCAAATGAATGGGGATGGCAGCTCCATACAATCGCATGCAATCACATACTCACAAGGGGGGACGTTTGCGACCCCCATGACAGTCGGCTGAGGGTCGTTACCTTGCCAGATTAACATGGACTGTGCTTTCGCAAGAGATTGCCCGCAATACTTTCCTTGCTGCAAGATATGGTGTTGGGCTCTTCAAAAGTATCGGGGAGGGCATACAGCACGGAACAATCGCATAGCATCAAGCAACTCCAATCCGTGTTGACAGCATGTTGAGCAGCATCAGATCTTTAGTTCGTAAAGCGGAAAAACACTCACATGGGAACAAATCAAGCACAACTAAGTTGTAATTGGTTGAATGAATAAACGCATCCCCAAAGGAAACGTGGCTATATGACACAGGAATGGGTTGGACAACTAAGGGAAGGCACTGTGTCGATTTTGGTATGGTCAGCATCAATTTGATGATAGAGGGCTGGAGGGGGGCTTCCAGACCTGCGACTCTAAGAGACTATGCAATTGCCACAAAATCGACATAAGGGGGCAACATGCTCCAAAACACAGCTGATCTGCGGCCAACAGCTCACAACTTGTTCCAAAACGTCCCTCAAAATTTCAAGGTTGAAGAAGGCCGCATAATGCCACAATTGACAGCCACTGGGACTGCCCCATCGCCCACAATGGCTTTTAGCATCCCGTTTTTCAACTCATTGCAATCGCTGCAGTTCTGGCTGCTTGTGTTCCTTAAAAAACCTATCAAATTTTTGTAGCGCTTTTAGGTAGTGTTGTGTTGAATCAGCCCGGCATTGTCGTAAGGATTGGTGCTAAGGCGGGGCGGAGGGAGAGGCTCTGGGCCTGAAGTCAAATTGATGGCAAGCGTACCAAAATCGACATAGTACCTTTCATAGCAAAACCATCCTTACCATGTTCATTGCTGCATTTTCTTTTAACAGGGCCATGAAACTTGCAAGGTGGAATAAGTGCAATGGCTATTTCCACGCTATCCAGAGCTGCAGTCTTTCCATAGAAATCGTAACCCCCAACAAAACAAAAACTACAATTTTAGCAAATTAAACCACAGCACTCAAATGCCCTCAAAGCTTGACAGGCGACCATCACCTGCTGTCCTCAACACAGAAGGCATAGCATGAGCGAGGGCGCCTCAGCAGGAAATCCATTTCCCCCACCACGCCACCTGGGCCGACCCCCAAGACTCGAAGTTTTGAGGGGACAGACAACTTATCAGGGACGTTCATGTCAGGCAGACATGGGTGCCCGATCCTCATCAAGTCGATCTCCACAGCGATCTTGCCCTTCTCCACGATGCACAATTCTGTTGCTTTGCCGCCTATGCTGAACAGCCTCTCCCCCACCTTCATTTCCTTCACTGTCAGAAAGCTCCGGAGGGCGTTTGCAGCGCTCTTGAAGTCCATGTCATCTGGGATATAGCCCTGGCACCAACCAACAGACACACCTCAGCAAGCGAGCGGCTGTATATGTTCGTGGAGAGACAAGATCACAGCAGGCCAGAGACGAGGCATCGCAATGTTGTATGAACTACCAAAACAAAAGGCAACATCCAAACAACTGCATCTGCGCGATTTGAACGACGACGAGCAAAAACCACTTCCATAGCTCAGGAAGGGAAGATTTCCCCACTTCAGTTTCACAAAACAATTGTTGATTGTACGAGATACTTCAGAATGGAAAGAGCTTCTATCATCCCAGAACGATATCCTTGTTTGTCAAGCCAGATATCCTGGATTTGCAGATCTTAACCATGCAGCCGTCAGCACAGGATCCTGTCGAGGTTGTGAAGCATGTCCTGCTGACAAGTCTCCTCCATTGGCAAGAGATGCATCAATGCACCATGCTCAGCAGTTTGGCAAATTCTGTTCCAAAATTGCCTATTTGAATGACAGCCAAATTTCAGGGATGTTGCCAATCTTCACCTGGTTCATCCAGAAAGTGGATTCCTTATGCACAACCCAGCTGACAGACCTGGACTCCAGAAAGTGGATTCCTTATGCGCAACCCAGCTGACAGACCTGGACACGAAGATAAGAATTAAAGAAAATTGGATCGGGTGGCCAAACTACAACCAGTTACCTTAGGAAGTGAAAGGCTGGATTTCAAGATTTCTGCAAGCTGCATTGATGAAGCTGGGGGAGCGAGCAAGCCATGGGCAACGGCAATCTCCAGGAAGTGCTCCTCGCAAAAGGACAGGCCCTCCTCCATCGAGTCAAAAGAGCGGACAGTTGGTGGCTCTTCGACTTGTTCACCATTGATTGTCGCTGCTTCAAATATTGCATTGTCACCAATAACGCCGTGAGCAACCAGCAGGCGACGGACACCAGGCCTGGCAAGTATCAACAGCCACTGCAGTCAGCACAGAATCCTGTGGGGATCTTGAGCAGAATTGAGGAGTTCGAGTCCTTGATACAGAAGCAGCAGAGTTTGGCTTCTTTCTTAGAGTGATGTTGATGCCATGAGCCTTATGCACATGTGGGGTGTTCAAATTTCCCCCAGGCAACACAATCTTGCGAATGCAACTTGCTGTGCTGATAAAACTCAATATCATCACATGTACCCATCTGCATTCAATGCAGAATGGCATGCGGTACATGACTTGTGACGTGGCCACTGCAACAATGTCCAGCTGAATGGGAAAGATTTGCTAGTCCATTCCAAGCAAGCAATTTGAATGTACGACATATGCCTCCTTTCGTGGAAAAGGTACATGACCGATGCAGTAGCTGGAAGATCCAGGGTGACTGCCATGGTTTGTTGTTGCATTTGGTGAAGCAGATATCCCGACACATAGCAGCGCACCAACACTTTGAGCCACCTGCCAGCCATAAAACTAACAACAATTTTGAAGTCGCTCGCTGAAAGCTGCAAGCCTGGCAGATGGTCGTTCATGTGCAGGCAACACTCCTGGTTGTGAAAAAACGCAGTTCCACCCACTAGGTCACAGGTCCTAGCAGCAAGAAAACAGCACACAGCAGACAGCCGAACCACCTTACCTTGTTGACGGCAGGTGGGTAATGAACGCCTCAACCCCTATCATCTGCAACTTTTTGCAGAGAGTTGAGAAGGACCGTGCTGCTGTGGCATCGATCCCATGGACACGCTGGAAGTCCAGCAACAGGAATTTCGGTGCTGAATTCACTGCGCATTCGATGCGAAAGGCCTTTCTGGAGCCCAGTCCCACAATACCATTTTCTAATGCCTTGGCAGGGCGAAGGTTTGGGCTGTTGGCAGATGAGATGCCGCCATCTGTCTCTGAATTTTTCACCATGCCTTCCACCAAGGCCAGCACCTTTTTGTTGATCTTCACTGAGCTCCCAAAGAAGATGTAGCCGCTCAATGAGACAGCCATGACATTCCCTGGTACACACAAAGTCAATGGCAACGGCCTGCTTGTTGTAGTATTCATGCAGGACAGAGAAGCCCGACTGCCAACAAGTGGGGAGTCTAACAACCACACCTGAGACACGATACATGCATGTTGTGCTTGTCCTCTCTTCCAAACAGTGAGACACCACATGGCGGCCACACAAAAATCAAAAGGAAAAACAGAAAAAATGGCTAGGCAACACCAGAATAGAATGCCTACAAATAGATTGTGCACTCGCTCTACCCACCAGAGAACAGCTCCAGTATGGACCTTTGAGCAAAGGGGCGCAAGTAACACCCCCGGCTTGGAAGGACGCTGTATGCTGTGATGTTGACCTTGGCGTAGGAGATCGCAAAATGGAGCAGAGATGCGACTACACCAAGGATGAGGCCCTTTCCAAGCCCCAGGGCCACAACGCCGATGAAGGTGATCCAGAGCAGGCCGTACTCCATGAGGGTGACCTTTGTGTAGGATATGACCAACCAGTCCTGCACAACCAACACCTTGCGAGTGATGGCAGTTAAAGAGACAAGCAAAGGACACACCGTTCTTGGTGTGACATATGACGTAGGCCTCAGAAGCTGACACACAAGGGACAACTCAAGGGCAAATCATGATCAACACCAAGGGCTACCAAAACAGCCTTTCTGCTCAGAAGGGCATCAGCAACCTTGAGCACATGGTCCAAAAACCTTGACCACAATACCAAGGACCATGGAGATGAACGGCACTTGAGATGGGTGTGTGTGCTGGACATTGGGGTCTTCGTCTGCTGGTGCACTAGTTAACTAAAATGGGGAGCAAGGCACCAGGCACTAAAGTTGGTGTGCCTTGCGGTGCAGAAGGATCAAGCCACACTGGAATGCAGCGCTGGAGGTCGCCCCCATGAATGTGGGAACGCTCCCATGCACATGGGGACTTCCCAGGCAGCAAGGACGTGGATTGGGGTTCAGGGGATGTGGGAACTGGGGATGGGCACCAGTTTCCATGCATTAATGAATATGATTCCCAGCACCAGGTATGTATTTTAGCATTCTTCCTGCAGCCGACAGGGCACACTACATCAATAGGTATTCCCCATCATCTTTGCTCCACAGTGGGGCAGCCAACCAACACACCAGCAGGATGTCAACTCCAATCCATATCGTGAGCGCTCCGAAGAAGAAATTGGGTAGATAATTCACTGGGGAGAAGGGAACTGCAAAGAGGACGTATTCCACCAGCGCCACAACAATGCCATTCACCCTCGAGTCCACCCCCGAGCGAATGTTGAAAATGGTTTGAGAGAATATGAGTGAGCCTGTGTAGCCAGCACCCATGGATCCGCACAGGATGTTGGCGATCCCAACATTGACCAACTCTTTGTTGTAGTCCAGCTCTCCTTCAAATTCCTGTTGAACTGCTGCGATGTCCATGGAAGATCCGAACGCCACCATCACACACAGCACGATAATGGTGGGTATCTGTTGCACGATGAGGCCACGGGCGCTGCTAATGCCTGTGTTGCAGCAGCCAACACCAAGCAGGCTTTTGGCTCTAAGGTTCAAAGGCAAGGGCAGAGTTTTGGGTGCAAAACCATCAAGCCAACAGATCGGCTTATCATTTGCAGCAGATGGACAACAGCAGTTATTGGCTCCCCAAATGAACTCAGGAAAGCAGGTTGCAGGCACACATCCATATTGGCTGCATTTTACCAACACACATGAACAGCCCTTTCCACTGCATCTAATTCCCAATGTCAAGCATTGTGCACATTCCTGCGTTTGTTGTTTTCATTCGCAGACATTAGGCCAATGTGCTTGTGAGTCCAACATCCACATGGGGGTTATGCACATATCGCAGCAACTTGCTTCCCGCTTCCACACTAAGAAGCCTGCCCATGGCAACCGCCACAGTCGTCCTTGGGAACAACTTCTTTGCAAGCAGATGCCACGCACGAGGCATCTTAGCAAGAACTTTGAAATTAAGAACAGGGCGGAGGTGCTGCTGTCTGTCACATTGATGGACTTTGAGCAGTGATCGGTTGAGCTGCAAATGAAATAGGACTGGCAGTGCATGACATCCTGCTTCAAGCAACACAACCAGCTCGCAGCACAGTGCCCCTGGCAGCAGTTAACTACCTCCCAAATCGAAAAGCTTCCATATCTCCCAAAAGCGCGCGTTGTTGCTGGCCGTTGTGCTCGCCACCCAGCCTGCTGCCTTGGCATCCTCCAATGTGAACCCGCAGCCCATCATGACTGCAAAGAAAACTAAGGGAATTGCAAACAGCGTGGTGGGCAACGCCGCTGGGTGGGGAATCTTGATGAGCACCAGGTACAAGATCGCTGCGCAGGCCACCCCTGCACTCAGCTTCACCAGCGAGCTGTTCCATCCATTGGCGGTGCTGAACAGCTCCAGATATGACCTCCATGATGTCTTCTCAACATCTGACACAATGCAACTGTTCGTGACCATTTGTCCAGTGTTGTTGACCACATTCCGAATTGAGCTAAAGCCCTTTGAGACGACATTCTGCTGCCACGAGTGATGGGGGTTGTAACAAAAGGACCAGGTGCACAAGACTAGTGAATGCCACTGACGTCATTCCACACTCAACTCACAAACACACAACCCAGTTTCACAGTGCATTCAGGTTCACCATATTGAGGAAGATTCACAACTTTCTTGCATGAGGACGGGACAAAAAGCGCAGGGCATAAACTGCTGGCCATGGACAATGGAGCTCAAGCACACTCCACCACTACTGTGGTATTCAGCTGTTGTGGCTTTTGCCAGTTATCAGAGCTCAGGGTGATCGAATGTATCAGCATCAGTGCACCCCTTTATTACAGCAAAACACAACTTTTAGCCTGAGGACCCATGCATGGCTGAGTGTGCTAATTTGGGTTGAAACAATGCCCACCACTTGAGGCAAACTGCCATTTGTGAGCTTGTGCCACTGATCATCCATACAGAATTGAAACTCATAGATGGGCATCTTCAGATCAAACAGACACTGAAATCTCAACATTTCCACTCACTCAGCATTCAAACACACTACAGGCACCTGTTGTGCTCTGTTGCACTATCCTGTGAAAGTCTAGCCCAACCAATGGGCCAGACTACTCTCAGCAGATGCCACCTGACTCCACAGCATTTCCGATGGAGCTGATTTTGTGAATGGACTCTACATCTCCTTTTTACCTGCTGACAGGAAGGCGCCCGCCAGGACACAGAAGAAGCCAACATACCCCAAGTAGCCTCCAACAACAGGCAGTGGCACATATTGAACCAGCCCGGCCAGTTTCAGGTACCCTGCAAGCACCGCATGCATACACTCATGACCACAACATCTGGGAGGGAATGGGTAGGAGGAACAGAAGCTTTTGGGAAACCAACAATTGGACATGTACATAGCCACCAACATCGCTCAGTAGGTTCGAGCAAAATGCTTTGTCACATCTTGGATACAAGTAATCAATGACGAAATTGGAAGTAACACTGCTTGCATGCACTGCTCCAGCCATGGCATAAGGACAAGCACACAAGCAAACATGCATTCTGCTTTGGAACGCCATGGATCTCCGGGTATGTCCATGAACTGACATACGTATGCATAGTTATCGACAGCAGTTTGTCACAACATAGGAATTGCACAACTCCTGTCAGTGTGGGCACAGGGCTCACAGGCCACAGACCACTTGTGTTTTAGCCACACAAAATACTGCTGAATTTGCAATCTTGCACATTACAACAATGTAATTCCTTGATTTCACATTCAATGTATGGGCACCCAGGGGCTGAAGAAGACCAGGCTGAAGAATGATTGAGCCGCACAGTTGCTCCCATGCATGGTGCATGTCTGGCAACATATCAAGTGAGGAGCCTCACTGGGAATGTGGAATAAACTGCAATCTTCCTTTTGATTATTGGCAGGCATTTCAAAACTCGCCTGAAAGTAAATGGTTCATTCTATACTTTCACCGTGTCAGGCGGTGTTGGACATTGCTTGCTCAAGCTTGGAGAATTGATGCAGCAATCGTAGTGACACCAGACAGCAGAGGCAGTTGTTTGTGGCAGCCCATAGGCAAGGGCATAAAGCATCTTGCAGGGCCATCGTATAGTCATCCTATGGCCCAATAGAACAAGATATTTACAAGGGTGGTGGCACGCCGTCCATGGTGGGAGCAAGTGCAAACAAATGTTCTTGCCTTCACCAACGGTATGGTGAGAGGGGTGGTGCAAAATATTTGTATTCACCACTGTGTCTGCTAATTTTGAGGGCACTCCCTTTTAGCTTATTTCTGATCCGTTCGACCTGCTTGCTAGCTGAGGTTATTTCAATGATATGCAGGCATCGTCCTATATGGCAGCCACTCACCAGTGGCTGCATTGTTGAATTCAATTTGAAATCAAGCTATTTATCATGATTAATAACGTCAAACATGATGAAGAAGGGACTCATACATCATATCAACACAAAATACATAGATAAAACATAAATCGTTTGTGAGTTCTAGGGTGGGCCACAAGAGCCCCCTTGTTAACAGAAAAGATTGTTCACTCACATAACACCAACCTTATGGCAGTTCCAAAGGTGCTATCCATATCTGCACGTTCATGTTCTTTTGGTATATATCCTTGTTCACTCCACAAACTCCGGCAACATAGTCAATTGCAATGGTCAACCAAGCAAAAGTCAACGGGAAAAGTCATCTGCTAACCCACCAGTTGTTGTGACCAACAAGCCCACGATGAGTGTGCTGAGAGACAGGGTTACAAGTGTGGCTCCCAGCGCCTCCTCAGGCTTCATATTCTTTTCTATGGCAGAGCTCATGATGGAGGATGCCATTGTGGACAGGAAGATGAGGCCAACGTCCTGGACTTGGCCAATGGCTGCAGGTAGCGAGCTTCGGAATACCGTCACCGTCTGGTCGATGGCACTTGCCAAAAAAACTTGCTTCACCAGCTGACCCATGAAGGGTTTGAAATTGTTGTTCTGCACAGGTGAAGAATAGTGGTCAATTAGGATCGATGCCACCCACAACCAGCAAGCACTGTGGAGTGTTCAATGCGGAGAAACAGAAAAAGTGCAGGTAGCACAACTTGGCTACTTGAGAGGGAAGTGGAAGTTGTCAGTTTAATGCCATTCAAAGCATGAACAGGTGCACAGCTGCAGTGAATGCCTTGCTGCAAATCTGCTCAGCTATACTTCTGCGCATATTAAGCAAAATAGACAATCACACAGTCGATTGGCCACTCCCTCATGGGATCGCAAACCAAAGACAATGGGGTACGAGTTCCTATTGAAGAGGTAACCTGAACATTCAGGATACCACAGGATAGCTCCTGCATTCCTCAGAATATCTCCATTAATCAATCAGCGTGAATGAACTGAAGGATTGGGTTGCAACACACTGGCAATGTTGACTGAGCGCTGCGAGTTAGACATTTCTTTCTGTACCTCGAAAACGACGGCTCCATAAGACACCATTGTTGGTGCGGAAACAATGGCATTTATGAGGCCATAGACCAAGGCCCTCACGATTGAGTCAATTCGAACACGACGCGCCCTCCCAGCCTTTGACGGTTTGCCATTGGCAGATAACAATGGCCTCTTCAAACCATTTCCTTCCAAGTTGACATCTGAAGCGACCGAATGGAAAGCACGTGTTGGATGTACACCATGAGAAGCAAAGAAATGAGAAACCGAGAGAATGGGGATATCTGAAATGTTCGTACGCAAGTGACACAAGCAATTCTCACACAGTTTATTTGGCGGAAACGGACCACCAACAGTACACACACCCTCAGACCCCTGCAAGTACCAATCCCATCTCATGCAGCACAAACAACCAACTAGTTGAAACCTCAGCATTCAGTGATTAATTTTTGAACTAAAATGAACCTATGGGCGCCTGGTGTGCCTCAGAGCTGCACTATGAATGCTGATGGTGTACCATCTCTGGGCTCTTCTTCAAGAGTGCCACCGCTGTCCAGCATCATCCGCCTGTCTTGTTCCAGTTGCTTCTGCAAATGGCTGCTGGAAACAGAAGGAGATCTCCAAGACCCCAGGGACGTGCTGGACGGAACACTGGCTGGCCAGCCAAACTGGAGCAGCCCGCGCTGCTCCCGGGGTGTCTGTCGCGAACCGTGATGGCCATCTGCAGTAGATCCCTGCATGGCATCAGAGAAACACATGCTGTACGACTCAGCTGCACCAATCCCATACGACTACAACAAGACAAAATGGGTGTATATGCAGACAGATAAAAGTTTATCAACTCTCCAGCAAATGGCAAACGGTTGGCAAAACTTCCCAATTGCAGTCAATGAGGGATGACATCAGAAACGTGTGGCCCATAACACGAACATGTTCAGTCCCAGATATGCGTAGAAGCAAGATGTTTGGGATCCCTAGAATTAACGATGCAGGTGTGCGAACGGCCAAGGACTTCAGACAGCAACATGTAGCACCATTTTATGTTGTGTTCCAGATGCACAGGCGTGTGAATTCTCTCAGGCTGCGCATCAAAATGATGCTTGCATGCACAGTAGCTACAGAACATGGCACCTACAGCTGACAATGCTGCACTGGACATTGCAGTGATAGCTGCACAGCAGAGACACTGTCCAACCAGGCTCAGCGTAAACTTGAGTAGCCATGGGGGGGTTTCGAGTCTCTTCAAGTGTCAAGCTGTTCTGGCATAATTTATGTGCAGTGCTACCCATCCTTGCAGCTACATAAACATCTAAAACACACATTGCCCCTTGCCCAAGGCACAGCTGAAGTGTTCCTCAGCACTTTTTTGTTCCGGTTCTTTCATTCGGTACTCTTCTTTCAACCTGGCTTTCTGATTCCCATACAAAGCAAAGGCTCTCAGCAAGAATTGCCATCAGCGCCATTTATGGACCGAAACACCACACATCTGCTGTGCTGTTGTGGCAGAGATACTGCAGGCATCCTCCGATATATACTTTTTTCCCCCACAGTCTTGATTCTCCACTGATGCATTGTCATCTTTCTCAACAATTTATCCTGCTTGTATGCAAGTGAGGAAGTCTTGAGCAGTGCAAGACTGTCTGCAACGTTGGAGCGGTGAAGAATGTGTGAAGTGGGTGAATCCCACTGCAAAATCCCACTGCAAATTCGGCAAAGGCGATGTGTAGATGTCTCTGCATGTCTCTGAATGAATTTGTCATTCTGTGAATTCATGACCAACTCTGTCAGGCACAGTCGCAGGTGCTACCAGCAATCAGAAACCAGGGAAGCGTTCCCCTAAGCGCATTGCTATCATTGAACGTCCCAGTATTTGCAGGGGACCCGATCGATGCTACAGGCGACAGGCGTCTGTGTACCCTTTCTGCTCGCATTTGTAACCATTGTCACACCTGCTGGCCCGCACGCACGCACAGGGGGTCCCAGAACCCAGTCCCTTCGGAAACCATCGCTGCACCATTTCCAGGCCTCAGGGCCCAAACGCGTTGTCCTCGACAGGAGGCACGCAACGCCGGCGAAACTACTGCCGACTCTGGGGAGCCGCAAATGCGCGAGCGCAGGAGTATTTTATGCGCGGGCGAGCGACATCGGGGGAGGTTTTGCGCCCGGATTGAACACTTTCAGATTGTGTGGAGGAAAGCAGGCCAGCGGGACCGTGAAAAAACTTGATCCAGGTTCAATCGCCGGCAGTCGTGCGCACAAGCGCGGTGCAGGATGCGGTGCGGCCAGAACGAAGCTATGCCTCTGCAGGGCTGGAAGGACATTGGTAACGACGGCAGCGGGATTTCAAACAGGTCGTCGGCTGGATGCAAGGCAACCACGGCGCGAGCGAATCCGTGCAAGCAGCCTCCTCCATGGACGGCCAACTCCTCGCAGGGGGACGCGGACGCGGCAGGTTGAGTGACCAAACATACACAAACACACACACGCGCGTGCGCGCGCACACACGTGGCAAGTGACCCAAGGTACGACTGGTGTGATCCTCTTTCCCCCTCGCGCATCTTGGGCGCATATCAATGCCGTACATCAATGCGTTAGCCGACCGACACCGGCCCAGCTGCCTGGGCTGCAGCTGCACGTCCGAACAGCGCTCGAGCGTCTGACGACCAACGGGTCAACGCCCGGCAGAACGAGTCTGGAGATGGGTTGATGCCTTTTGGGCGATCATCAGGACGGGAGCGACCGTCGGCGACGTCCGTGTGGACGCTCGCCACGGGGCATTTTGCAGCATGTTTTTGGTGTCTGCACTTAGGCCGACCAATTCTACCATTCAAACTTCGAACAGGGGTTTCAGCACCTCCAAGTATTCCTTTCGTGGCGCCGGCTTGTTCTGGAAAACCTTGGTTGCGAACTTGGCTGAGTTCAGGCTTTCCGCTTTGCAGACGCAAGCCTTGTTTGGTCGCCAAAACCACGGTCTGGTTCGACGTTAGTGTCGCACGGGTGACGTCTGGCCTCTTAGTAGGAATGGCTCTGACCCGAAGCGAGAGCGCCGGCCGCAAATACCCACTCTATGTTGCGTACAGTCACCACCATGAGGTGGGCAGGCAGCGGTCCCCGAACACCGCCAATGGGAACCCGCCACCAGTAGACAAGCGCACGCGCCTGCCGAAATGAGCGGGATGCGGCCCATTGATCCTGCCGATCAGGGCCCTATAGTTCGCCGAACCGCTGCGCGATTTTGCAGCCCCCCTGGCCGCCAGCCCCGCGCCGGATCAGGCGCCTGGGCGCCAGCCTGCCCGTCCCGGCAACCGGCTCCAGCCGCCCGCCCCGCTCTTCCAAGCCGGACGGCGGGCGCGAGTGCGGTCGCCTCCACCAAACTGCTGATGGCAGCAGAGCCGTGGCGATCATCCGTCGACACCAATCCCAGTCGCCAATATTTCCCCTGCAGCTACGCATCAAGTTTCCCCCCTCCCGTCTTGGCGCACCCCCCCGCCACTTTTCCGCGCCCCCCGACCGCCCCGGATTCAACATTGCCGCCCCGGATGCCCGCGATGCAAAATTGCCGCCCCGGGCACCCCTTTGCCCACCTCGTGCGACTCGATCGAGCACGACTGCCGCGGGTGGCTGCCCTCCGGCTCGATCTCGTCCCTCATCGACCGCCGCCCGCCCGACGCGGCCGTGACCAGGTAGTCGTGCCCCCGGCTGCCGTATGACGAGCCCCGGTGGCCCGGCGTTTCGCCGCTGGCGAAACGGGTGAGCGTGCCATAGCCGGGGGATGCCGACAAGCCGTAGTCCGATCCCGAGATGAGGCCACCCAGCTGCAGCCGGCGCGGAAAACTGGGCCGCCGGTAGGAGCCGCGGCCGTCGGAGGACATCGGGAGGGCCGGCGCGGGGCGGGGCTGACGGAGGGGGTGGGCGCGCTTTGGGCGGCTGGCGTGAGGCGAATGTGTTTTGGTTGTCGTGTAGGGGACGAGGACGGGCGCTCCCGGATGACCCGTGTGGGGCGCGCTGTACCCGGCGCTGGCCTGGGGCCCGTCCTGCGCTGCCCAGCCGGCGGGCCCCTGTACTTTGAGGACGTCTATGTGGCGGGGAATTGGCGGAAAAGGGCTGGGCGGTGGGCAGATTTGGGCAGCTTTTTGGGCGGGGCGGGAGGCGGCGGGGCACGTGCGCGACTCCGCATCGGGGAAGGGGGCTGTGGGAGTGACACATCGAGGCTCGATATGGCGCCGATGCCTTCTTGCAACAATTTGCAGTCGCACGCGGCCAGGCCCATTTGCGTGGACGAGCTGCACTCGAAGAAAGTTACTCTTTGGCACACTTCCAGAAGCCCATGTGCTGTTTCGATGCCTCCTGCGCTTGACGTCCAATGTTGCGCTCCTTCTCCTGGTACACGACGCATCAACACAGCGGAGCTTCAGGCCACCCTGTGCCAGAGTCAGGCCCTGGCTGTCGGCGCTATGCAGAAGAACGTGCACCAAACGGGACCAAATGTTTCGCTGTGAAGCGCAACGCGAGATGAGGAGGCAAAGACCATTCTGCTGCGTGGGCTACAGCACGTTCAACGCTTTCACACACTTCCACGCCTTCTCTGCATCAACAAACAACGGCACACAGCGCAACCCACATCATGGACATCGTGGAACCATAAGGTTCTGACGCCAATGGGCAAGCGATGACCTTTGGCCCTGCTGCACGGCCCACTATTATCAAAAACTGGTCTGCAAGGCCCCGCCAAGATGTCCCACGGGCCACTTCAGGTGGCACAATGTCACAGCTCCCACTTCTTTCAGTGGCAGTTGTGGCACATAATGAGCCACAAGATGCTGGCCTAACATAAAACAAGGCAGTGGTTGATAGGGTGCGCCCTGGACTCGGAACCTGGCAGGGATGTTGTGAACGCTGGATCGGTTTTGCAGCCATTGTGGATCAGCAATGGCATTGCTCTGCGATTCGATGCCCCCCACATTAGCACCGCACAACATATGCACAGCCCATATGGGGAGTCTGCCTTTTTCATGCAACAAACCAGCAGCATGCAATGTGTAAAGCTGCTTGAAACAAGCATCCTTTCATTGGCAGGTGTATCATGCTCCAAACAAACGATTGTTACATTGTCCAAAAGGTTGGACACTGTAGGAATCATTGTTCCTGCCACCCATGCAAATCGTCCAGCAGCCAGCCGACATGTCTTGCTGCGGCAACAAAAAATTGTTGCAGAAGGCAGGAATCCCCAAGTCAGCCATGAGCCTTGCTGTGCATGCCAGCACCAAGATTCAAGCCAAGATTCAAGTCTTAGCTGTCATCAGTGGCCTAGACAGTGGTGCATGTCATTCTGAAGTCACTTGGACCATACATTGACCTATCCAATCTAATGTACTCAAGATCTTCACAACAGATCTCACACAGTGAAGTGTGCAGACCCAGCTGAGAATCAATCTGATTCTGGTTTTTCTTGTATCACTGCGAGCATACCAAATAACAGTGGCACAAGACTATCAAATTATCGGCCAACTGTTGTTGAGCTGACACTGAGCCAACATCGACTCAGACAGCACAACCCACAGATACAACCTGAAGCAAAAAGGCAGTCGGCCACCTTGAGCACAACACAAGAATGCAGGCAACCAGGTTCAAATCACCACTTTTTCTCAAGCAGCTTCAGAAACTCTTGCCTCCCGAACTTCCTTCTTCCTTTGCACCCCTCCCTTTGACATCACTGAGGGTCTTGCAGAATATTCGGCTTCCCCTTTGACCACCGGCCCCGTAGTGTTGGTATCCCTGGCAAGGGAACTGGCACACTCCCCGACCCTGACCCTGAACCTGACCCTGACCCCGCTCTGGTCAGGCCCGCACCACCAGAAGCATCAGATCCTCCACTGGCTTCCATGCTGCCACCCGCCGCCTTTGGTGTTGGTGGACCTGTCACCCCATTGGCCTTGGAAAGGGTGCCCCCTGGAGTTGAGCCCTGGCACCATGGTCTCGCAACGGCTGACCAAGATGCTGGCTGAGGACTGGCGCCAGCCTGCTTTGGTGGTGACAGTCTGGACTTGTGCTCCTGGCTGTTGACATTGGCTGTGGGAAGAGCTGTCCCTGGGCTGCTGAAGTGGAGCCTCCTATCCGGTGGAGACTCTGAAACAGGATTGCCACCGACTACCTCCCGTGCCACAGGTTTGGGAGAGCTTAAAGGTAGGCATTCAGGAGCTGATGTGTCCACTGCAATGGCTGCCAATGGGCCCTCCAGCGATGCGACTGGCTCAGTTGATGCATCTGCCTTGCTTAGTGAAGAACTGGCAGCCCAGACGGGATCTTCACAGTTCTGGGTATCAGCAGTGCCAGCTATCTGGTCACCAGGCTCCCCAGCGGCAGCTGGGGAACTATGGGACATGGACGGCTCCAATGGCATCGAGGGCGTTACCAGTGCTGCCTCCTCCCGTCGAAAGCCTTCCTGCAGATTGACGAACGGCAGGTGCAACGGTGCTGGGGTGGCAGGGCGTTGTGCACTGATGACTTCTTTGATGAACGTGGCTTTCAAGACTCGGAAGTTCACAAGTCCTGGGCCAGCGCCCTCCTCAACAAGCGTCAAACAGTTTGTCAATCGATCAAATGCAAACACAGCACCCGTCACATCCTCTCCCAGGGTGGTCCGCAGAATTACCCGGCACCCAGTGGCCCAGTCATGGCCGTTGGGCTGTGGCACTCCCATCGAGGCTTGTGGGGACGGCGCTGAAAGGCATCAAGTCCACAGTCAATGAGCTGCACAGTGGCTACTGAACGTATGGTATGCAACCTATGAGCATCATTTTTGCGAAGCTTTGGTCACATTGATACGGGCTCTCCCATTTGCTGTTTGCCACGAATTCCTTGATAAAGTGCCAGTAGAATATCTTTGTGCTCATGAATCTGGCATACGCTCTGGAATCTTGTGGCAGAGTTGCCACTGACAACCATTGTGCCTGCGCACTCGCTGGTTTGGCCGACGAACACATTCAAGTTCACAAACACTTCCATTATTGCGCACAGAGACAATCTAAATGGTCAACTCGTGCCCGACGCCAAGTCCCAGTCCCCAACGGGGAGTTTGCAGTGTTCATCAGTCGCATCACAGTATCGCTTTGTTTGCTTGACATGTCCAGATTCCTGCTGTCTCAATACGCAGGGTTTCCCAGTCAAACAGGGCCAACGAAAGAAGCCTCATCCTTACACACTGTGCAAGCATGGGAAGGTGTCTTGCGTTGGCCTGTAATGCAAGCCGCGCCAAGCTTGGTAAAACACGCTGCAAGGGCAGACGCACATGCCCCCAACTCGGAGTGCCGGAGGCAGAGCCAGCAGGACTCTAGCAGCCAGAACATCTGACCCTCTGATGAGCACCGTACCCGTTGACGAGGGCTCAATTCCGCACCGCGCTGCCAACAGAATCCCGCGCTGTCGCCGGGGTGTGGGGTCAGACAAAGCGGACTCCCCACGGCACGCTCGGAACGGCGCACGCCCCAGGCGCGCCAGAGCGCGAGACGCGAGGCGCTGGCGCTGCGCGGCAGCTGCTACCCGGCGGCTGGCCGCACAGTTCGCCGCACGCGGGCGCAGGCCACGGGAGCACCTCGCAATCCATCGCGCTGGCGCGGAGGCAGCCGGCCTTGGGCGCGACGAGATCCCGGCGGCAATGCGAAGACAACCTCGGCAACGGGAAGACACAATTCGCGGATCGCTGCTCCGGGCCGTTCGACACCGACCGCCGAGGGCAACTGAAGATTCGAAAGATTCAGGTCCGACCTCCGAGCTCGGCCAACCTGGCCCCCGCCCCGCGCCTCACCCTTTGACTCCACCTCCCTCCCGTTCGGCGTGGACCGCTCGAAGGGTCTTCCGGCCGGCGGCCGCTGCTCCACGGCGACCATCCTCTGGAACGGCGGCGGCCCGCCGACGGCGCCCGTCTGCAGCTGAGGGGGGCGGCGCTCCCGGCTGTGGCGTCCTGACAGTTGGGGCGTGGGGGGCAGCGGTTGGGGCCTTGGTGGACTTTCTTGCGGTTCAATTTGGGGGCGTGTGGGGAGCTGACGAGGCTGTTGAGGCGGCGGAAGTCGTCACCGTCGGCAAATCTTGCAGACGTGCGAGTCGTCGACCACCGTCAGCGCACACGTTGGAACCGGCGGCGCCGAATCTCAGCGGCATAAAATTACTCCCCGTTCTCGTTTGCTGAATTTCGGTTCTTGTTTTCGGACACCCTAAACCCCAACTACTGATCCACGCACTGGGACTGGCCTTGTCAGCGGAACAAGAACCGAAATTCAGCAAACAAGAACAGGGAGTAATGTATTCTCAATCTCAGCGAAAAAGCAGGTGATGGCGCTGCCTGGCCATTTTACTTAATGGCCTAGTCAGCTGGCAGAGATTAACGAAAATGGTCTATGACTAAATACTATTGTTTATACTACTTTCACTACTAGGACAATATTAACACTATGCGACAGGGATCAAACACAATTCACTCAGGTTGCATACCACAGCCAAAAATACACATTGCTTGTGTATGTCCTCTCTTTTGTAAGGGTGCGGGGATCACACACGGTGGGCCAACGCGTCGCCCCCTCGTTCACGAACACACTCACACCCAGACGGTTTGAGCCAGTGCCATCAGCCGCAAGGCGTCAGTAGAGGTGGCCACTCAAAGATGCCATCCGGTCCGTTAAGTCCGGTTCGTTAATTTTTATCAGCTGTCCGTTAAATTCCATTAAAGAAAAAGGGAGAAAAATTCAGAAAAAACGAAAAAAATCCAAAAAAATCGAAAAAACCCAAAAAATCACAACAACTGCGGCTAGTTGAAAATCTAGTATGCATAGGTTGAACTAAAATACAAACATACTCTCTAATAGCGAATTCCATAAAC